CCGAATATTAAGGAGCTAACTAATCTTCATAAATTTATTGTTCTTATACATAAAGTGGGTCCTGAATATAAATATGATACAATTTCGTTGGAACAATATTATAGCAACAATACTTGCTGTAAAGACTATCGTCACGTCCTATTACTAGCTGAAACTAGACAAAAAGAAGAGAAACATTCTTTAACCTCTTTTCCTTAACAAGTTAAATAAAACAAATTATACCCAAAAATTCTACGCACAGGACTACTACAATAACTTATCGGCTACGGAACGTGAAAAACGGCATGGAAGAAATTGCACTTAAACCATAAAATTAAGGCATATCTCTACTGAGCACTGCGTCCCCAAAACTAAGCCATGAAATGTTTTGTTGATACTGGGGCTTGCTCCTGTTTTATTAAAGACCGTGACCTTTATTTAATATAAAATACCACAAAAATGTTGTTGATACTATAAGAAACCAAATTGATGCGCATACCTCTGGACTACAAAATTATTTAATCGCGGGAAAGCAATCTTTCATACGGGTTTTCGAAATAATTTAATTTCTGTTGGGAAACTTAATGAAAAAGGTTTTCATGTAGATTTTAAAGATAAAGAAGTAATAATAATTAAAAATAATATTATTATTGCGCAAGATGTTATAGGTAATAGGGTATATGTTATTCACATTTACCCAAGTTAACAATTACACCACCATATTATCCACCAATCATCCCAGCCAATTCTCATTGAACATTTTAGACATGGGCATCTTGGCTATCAAAGTCTTAAAAAACTATTTCCTAGCATTCCATCTTTTAAAAATGAAAGCCGAGAGGTTTGCTTGAAGTGTAAAAAAACGAAAAAACAAAAAGTGAAAAAAAAAAGCGAAACTCACAACCAAAGATTGCCAGGACAGCTAATACACGTTAACACTATACAATGGGACGTAACCTCATACGACGTGTTTAGATATGTTGCAATGGCCACCGATGCCAGGTTAAACACATTACAATACTATTTGCCGAAGATAAAGAAATCAAACACCTCATAACCCTTTAGATTAAACAACAAATAAACATTAAAAAACATTGAATTTAACAGCTCCTTACCTAATTCCCTCATCGAGGAATTACGCACCGATAAAGAAAATGAATTCTTTAACAATGGACTAAGCCTGGGCCTTCAACAATAGGGTGTACGATTATCTACAGTACCACCACACTATATGTTAAACGAGAGGAGTATTCAAACTATAACCAATACAGTCCGCTGTATATTGAAACAATCAAAACTGCCTCTTAATTACTAGAATGAAGCATTAGATACACAGTTTTACTAACAATGTACTTAGGAAAAAAAGAACGTTCTTCGCCTAATGAAATATTTGGTTTAAAATCAGCGGGATTTAAGCCTCTAAGGCCGCTAGGTTGCAAAGCGCTTTTTTACCACTCGAGGTTTAAAGACATCACGGGGCAGAACACTTGTTATAAAAACCTAAATACTTTAGCGACAATGAATATTCAATTCTTAACATAAAAACAGGTAAAACGTTGCGATCTAGGGATGTTTAATTTTTCGAAGATATATCCCCTTATGATGTCTATACAACAGCCAAAATATGACATATATGTACAAAACTACTCTGGATCTGTAACCCCACAACTATCTCATCAAGGAAATTTAATTGCTGGTCGCACCTTTAAACGAAAAAAGAGCCAGGGTTAATGATAATGAGGGAGCAGATAGACCACTTGAAAATACTCTAAGTCACAAAGAAAGCACACAAACCGAGCCTACCTTGTTATTAAACCAAAAAATCAAAGGGCAGACCCTAGTTAACGGGATGCAAGATTATTTAACTAGGGATAATATAAATAGGAATGATATTATATTAACAAATAAAGAAGTTAAAACAGACTATTAATAGTAACTTCGGTCCAATTACATAATCTGAAGTTGATATAAACCTTCTCCATAGCATACCATTAAAAAGAACCCTCAGAGGTTTAAAACCACAAGGTATGCTTCCACTCAAGGGATCCGTCCTACCAAGAGAAAGCTTGTGTTTCTCACCTCCCGTCTTCGACCTAAGGTAAAAATAATCAAAGAAAACGGGGCATTATAAAAGGAACCCCAATAATGCACCTGACGCAATGAAAGTGAAAGATCGGAACGAAAAATTTAACCTATTGAACTAACATTAACGGAACATGAGCAAGCTGATATCGAATTATGTGATAAAAACTATATAATCAATTCTTGAGAACTACATAAAGTATTCGATGTCTAAATGTATCCCGAAGCTGGTCAATTAAGCTATAAATTAAAAATGAACTACTAGGAAAATACAAACTTAGAAAGAACCGAGACCACAATAAGGCCGGTTTAAGACTTTACTGATGATCCTTCTAAGAAATTAAAGGTCACTGAAGCATTTTTGGCCCACAACTTTCTAACTTTTACTGAAGCGAACTGTATAGAGGTAAATATAAGATTGCAGCATTCGTGAAACTTAGCTCGCTCTTGGATCATGGCGAATTCGAGGTAATAGAAATGGCGTACGTACCCACTAATAATAAAGTTATAACCGCCACATGGAAACTCCATATTAAACCGAACAACGTATTTAAAGCCAGACTTACAGCAAGAGGGTCTCAACAAACTCCTGGGTTGGATTATTAAGAAACCTTAACTCCTGTCCTTTCAAAATCATCTATTCGGCTTCTACTTGCGATAACCAACACCCCTAATATTCCTGTACATTCAGTCAATCTAACTACTGCTTTCCTACACAAAGTTACAAAAACCCGTCTATGTCCATATTTTACAAAGTTTTATTATCAAGATTAAAAAGGTACATATATACACAGAGCAAAATGATGAGTGCATTTTTCACTCTACAAATTTCGATACATATCTTGGTTTTATGTAGAACGACTGTATTATACTGGGAGATCATAAATCTTTTCTTAAAGAAATGAAAGCGGACATAATAAAAGCATGCGACAAACTTGAAAAAGTGCTAAGGAATAAAACTGGAATTATCGAACAACTTGCATCTAAATTTCATATCGGCCACCAAGCAAAACTGAAAGCCCCATTTCCTGCAGGCGTTAAACTAAAACCCTCTTTGGAAGGCATTCCGAGTCATATGTACTGCAACCTAGCTGGATCGTTACGAAACATTGCTGACAGCACACGCCCGAATATCACATACACGGCTTCTATGTTGGAAAGGTTTTTGCACTGCAGAATGAAATATACAAGAACATAGCAATACCTATACCACACCAAAGAGCTTTCATTGACAAAACTAGATATTTATCATCATAATATGCCGATGGAGTGCCACTGTGATGCCCCGTGGGTTAACATTTACAATCATAATGGGCTATATTATACTCATTCATCGCAGCCCTATTCTATGGTCTTCCTATCTTGACAAAACTAAAATTAACAAAACATTTTTTGTGTAGCTGAATGCATTGCCTTAAGATTTTTTCAAATATCATTGCAATATTAAATATAATTAATGAACTTCTCCCTAACTTTAATATTAAAATAAAAACTTATACTGGTAATGAAGCAGTAAAAGATATACTGAGAAGCGACGCTTTAATAAGAGTATACGACATATTGATATTGCTATCACTATGTTAAAGACGAATTTCAAAGGAAAATTTGTTCGATTAAGCACATTACTTCAGCAACAAACTTAGCCGGTATGTTTACGAAGTCATTATCAATAGAGAGACGTGGGTTTCTAATCACGAATTTATAGAGGTAATTAATTAATATGCAGTTATAACATCCTGAATGGTTATAAAGTGTTTCGAACATTTTAAACTCTCATTACAACAATAATATTCCGCAATAATAGAAAAATTATAAATACCATATCAATCCAATTAAATCAGCCCTCATCCCTTTAATGTTCTTTTTTTGGTGTATTTATTAGACCGCGTCGAGGGTTTCGCTTTAAGATAGCCTTATCCCGGCACCAGTAAGAGATTAGCAGGCGACCTACCAAAGCTTATCCCACTCTACTTTCAATGTTCATCATCTTGGTGTTAGAACGTACGTCCAAACGTCCGAAGTTCGTGTTTTTGCCTTCCAAGTCGGACGGTAAAATGCCAGCACACCAGAATTGTATTGACCTGCTTACTTATTAAATACTTTGTCTTCGGGGTTTTAAATCGATTGTTCCGAACAGCGTGTTTGCAATTAGAGCCATATCGGGCAATCCCCAAGGCAGCGGCTTATCCACATCGCTTAAACCGAAATCTCATTGGTCGGTTTCACGGCAGCCGAGTTAAAACGGGATCGCCTCGAATCTCCTCGGTTTTTGAAGGCTTTAAGTTAAAAAGAATAATGGAGTTGTAAGTTCTACCGCACTTATATAAAAACTCCGCCTTGGGGCCACTATGTGAGGGTAATAGCGAAACAGCTACATCTTTACGTTGCAGCAGTTACAGTGAGTCCTTTTTTTGAGCAGTAGCCGCAGGTAACGCAAGGAGTGGTGCTGCCGTCGCGACTGACAAGGAGCTTGTCGGTAACATGCGGGGACGTTCGCGAAATAGTTTACCATGTTACTTTGTACACCCGTTGTTACACGCAGTAAGAAACTTATTTTCTTAAAGGCATCGTTGATCCAGACACTGAGCTGCTATAGGGGAAATCTCAAAAACCACTTAAAATTGCTTGAGTGTCTTCGCATTTGACCAAGTTTTATAAACAACACGAAACACTCGAATCTTTCAGTGCACAGAGAACATCAATTTACGCAGTGAAAAAATTTTACAAAATTGATGGAATAATTTATTTTTTCCCATATTATTTAGTGCAAAGGACTCAGGTAGCTTCTAAATTTAAGAGCGAAAAAATTTTATATAATGAGATAAACTGATATTAAAACTCAAAATTATTACAAATTTGACACAATAAAATAGAAGTCTATATTTTACTAAATGTGAAAGGGTTTATTACAAAATAAAGTTTACATTTGTGGGCGATAAACTTTATTACTAGGAAATATCAACTGAAGCATATGCCCGAAGCATAACTAACCGAGCTGTCATGTTCGCTGGCGCAGCGAGAAGATTGAGAGTAACACGTAAACTCAATTTTGTAAGAACGTGTTTGGTTATCGTTGCAACGTCTTATTACCTTTAAAAAATTGAAAGAAATATTTTTAGAAAAAAAAGTATTGACTATCTAACAGAAAAGTAAGGTTTTTTAGATAATGAAAAAATAAATAAACATTTATAAGCAGCAGTATTGGATGCCGGCCACAAATTGTATTTCGGGATCTTTTTAAGTATAAACGAAACTTTTCAGGCTTAAGGGATTTAATAATGGACATTGCCTCTTCATCGAGAAGTCGGATGCTCTCGTTAATCTCGAGATTTTTATTCCGATAAGTATAGGAAAAACGAGTCCCCCTAAACAGGTAATTAGATCCAGAGCAACGAAATGCAACTATAAAAAATCTTAACCAATGACAAAAATCGGAAGAAACGATAAAAAAACTTTCTCCCTCTATAAAGTATTTGTATAAAATTTGACTGTATTCCTTTTCTAACTCTTCATCCAGTGAGCCAACCAATATCGGTATTATTTGAAACTGTTTACTAAATTACAATGAAGAAAACAAATTAAAAAAATAAAAAATGAAGAAACAGTTGAAAACACTTTACCCGTTCATAACGTGAAAGATGAAAGGCAGTTGCATCTCTAAACTATGTTCTTCTTCGTCAACTTCTCGAGACATTTGAGTAAATCTCCCTGTCTGAAGGAGTTCTCTAGTGACTGTTTTAAGTACACCATAAACTTAAAGATAAGAAGCTAATTTTTAAATAGATATTTACGTTCTCCATCAATCTTAATGTTGCCCAAAGGAGTTTGATACTCAGACATACTAGACAAAGCGCAACCCCTCAAAGAAACGTGATGAGAAGGGCCCAATATAAATATTCGTTTGCTATTAAAAAATAGAGAAAAAACGAGCGAACGGTAACAGACCAATGTTTAAACTTAAGTAATACGCACGGTTGAGAGGGTTGCATTGCTTTATAAGCAAAAGCTGCAGTTTGACCACAATATTTATAGCCTGCGTGCCTAAGCAAAGTTAAAAAATTTTTACAATTATAAAAAAAAAATTTGTACGGCGCAATAATGGCTTTAGGAATCAACTGCAGGTTGAGATAGTCATAACTGCTATCTTTTGAAGACGATAAATTAACGTTATTAAACCACTTACTTAATTCTCTTTCCAACTTTTTCGCTGTGATGCACATATATAAGATATATATTGCAGTAATAAGGAATAAAAAAAGTATTGTAAAACCATCGGCAGAATACCAGGAGCCTGCGTGTGTAGCTTTTCTTTCCACCATTTTCGGGAACTAATGCTAAAAATTTTTAAAGATATAAGTTTTTTATAGCTATTCAGTATTACAGCAGCTGCAAGTTAGGGCTAAGGTACTATCTAGGTTGTCTATTTTAAATCCCGAATAGCTTATATAAGTACTTTTTAACGAAACGGCCACAGTTATAGCTAACCCTTATACTAAGTTAGGTTTTTCAGCCCTTCTTATATAGAAAAAATCATCTATAACGTAGCAATAAGTGGAAAAGATACTTCATGAATTTAAACATCGTGTTTACTTAGTTTACATGAATACTTTAATAAAAAGTACGGCAGGTTGTTGATGAATAAAGATGTATACTATGATTATGTACCTTTTAGATTTGTTTATTAGGCTGATGTTTCTACACACGCCAGTTTCACTATATTCTATAGAAGATTCAGACCTCTTCGTCACACTATTAACTTTTTTTAGGGCATATTTAATTAACGCTTCTAGTTCTAAGAATAGACATTTTTTTACTGTTAAAAAAATGTTCTGAGACAATAATCCACTTAACTTGGATACAACCGGAGCGCATTCGAAAAATTAACTATTCAGCATAAAACTTTTCAGATAACAACTTCCGTGTATAGTTTTTCATTTTCGAATACAACAACATTTTGGTGTAAACAAGTAACTTTAAATTCTTTAATTCCTCTTATTTTTAATGTAGACGTTTAAACTTACACCCCCAGTAAAGTTAACTCACTTGCTTAGTTAGTACTTTCACAGTTAAATTTATTAATAAATATTAAAAGTTTCTACTCTTAATTATTAAATTAGAATTCAAAGAGTTAGAACTTTCTAAAAGCACGGGTTTTACATTGGTACTTTTAGTAGTTTAGAATTATTGCACTTGACTTATTAGTTTTATCTATAAGTTTAAAAGTAAATGAAAGACAATAACATTTATTAAGAGCCACTGAAACAATAATTCAAAGTCAACGATGGTTCGCCATTTTTTTCTTATGAAAGTCAAAAAGCAATTCATACTAAAAAAAATTAAATTGAGGTCTTTAGGAAACCCTTTATAACAGTGATAATTATTGTTAGCGACTCTTACGTTTTTTTTTCTCTTGCAAAAAAGGCAACATGGAGAGTAACAATGAAGATCCGGAACGCCAAAAAGCTATCGAAGACTTCCAAAAAAAACTAATAGAACATCGTGAGCTGGAGGCTTTGGTAAAGCAAAATCGATTAAAACTTCGGGAGCTTGGTTTCGATTTTTAATTTTTATTTATTTAATATTATTTATCTTTAATCCCCAAGAAACTTCCTATGACAAAAGCGAAGAGGATTTAAAAGCCTTGCAGTCTGTAGGACAAATTGTTGGTGAAGTTTTAAGACAATTGAGTGAAGAGAAATGTAATTTAAATTATTTTTAATACTTTTTAATTATAATTATTTTTTTTACTTTCATATACAAGTTATTATTAAAGCATCGAGTGGCCCTCGTTATGTTGTTGGATGCAGAAAACAAGTAGATAAAACTAAATTGAAGTCGAATGCACGTGTCGCTTTGGACATGACAACGTTAACTATTATGAGGCCTTTGCCAAGGTCCTATTCAGAATTACTCAGTAGAAACATTTGTTTTTATTTGTTTTATTAAAATTTTATAAACTTAGTTGAAACTTTTTAGCAAAATTAACAACTTTCTTATTCAGTAAAAACAAAAAAAAAGAGTTTGTTTGTTTTTATTTCTTTTGGAAATATTTTAAACTTAGTTAAAACATAAGAAAACTAGCAATTTTTTTAAAAAATTTACTATTTATTTTTTCTTTTTTCAAAGAAAATCTACAAATTCTGTAGAAATTTATAAGCAAAGTATTAACTTTTTTATATCTCACAACATATCGACTATAAAAAATAAAAAATAAAGTTACTATCAACGTAGCATATTTAGTGTTCGAGTTTATATATATCTCATTTTACAAGGTTTTATAGCTTTTACATTTTCTTTATTTTTCAATTTTGTTTAAATATTATCTATATTTTAAAACTATTGTGTCAAGGAAATTATTTATATATATTTTTCTTAATTTTTACTAAAATTGAGCAAAATGTCGCAGAAAGTAGGTGGTCAAATTTCTTTTAAAAATTTTTTTATAATTATTATTATAAATTTTTCTATATGAACTACTTCTATGGGCTAATAAATCATTAAGTTTCTTAAATCGTTGGCTCTATTTTTTGTATTCGAATTTTTTTTTAAAAGAATTGCAAATATTATTTTCTAAATTCTTTGTTAATTATTTAAAATGTTATATTATAATAAATATTTTTTTATGAACAACTTGAATTTATTTATAATAATATTTTTGATTTTTATAAACGTGTAGTAATATAATTTTTAGTTATTATAAATTTTTGTGTAACATTTTTTTATTTAATTCTTTTTTTGTTTGCTAAATATTACAATCTGAATATTTTTATGCGATGAGAATTCCTTGTTTGTAGTGTTGATTCAGGATTCTTTGTTTGGGGATTTTCTAAATTATATTGATTTGCTATTTATAAATTTATTTATTAAGTTTTAGCAATTAGTAATTTTTTTATAATTTTACTTTTGAATTACTTTTTTGGGTTAATTATTATATAAATTGTTTTTATTGGAAGCGGTTGTGAAATATAAATTTATTTTCAGTACTTAATTTTGTTTTTGAATAACAATTTTTTAATTTGGAAAGTTTTATTTAATACATAATTAATTTGATTTACACTAGGTGAAATGGGAAAATTTATTATTTTATATATTTTTATCGTTTTTTTATTTTTTTATTTACAATAAAATTCGAAAACAAATAATTTTATAAAGTTTTATTTCTTGGTTTGTTTTTTAATTTCTAAATTTTTTTATAAAAATTTATTATTTTATATATTTTTATTCTAGAGAAGTTGATCCTTTTGTTTTTAATATGTCTCGTGAGGATCCCGGCGACATTAAGTACAACGAGATTGGAGGACTGCAAGAGCAAATAAGAGAGTTGCGAGAAGTTCGCATTTTTATTAGTGATTTTAACTATAATATAATAATAAAGTTAACAAACATTATTTTTGTTTTTTTAACTTTTTTATAAGAAAAATGGAAATTTATAATTATAATTTTAATTTCTACTGAAAGCTATTTTTTTTCATTTTATTGATTATTATTATTCTGAGCCTTTATTAAAAATATAAAAAAAAGTTGTAATTAACTTTATTCAACTATAAAAAAACTTTAAAAGTTTCTGCCTTCTATTAATATTATTATTTAAGTTCTAATAAATACTAATGAAAAAGTAATTTTTTTTTATTTCTTTCAGGTTATTGAGCTTCCTTTAATAAATCCCGAACTTTTCTTGCGCGTCGGCGTAAAGCCACCAAAAGGCGTTTTGTTATACGGCCCGCCCGGTTTGCTTATAATTGTTAATATCAAGTTATTATTATTATAATATTTTTTATTATACAAAAAGTAAAAGAATTATTGTATGTATTATTTTTATCAAATATATATTTTTTATAAAAAAGATATTTTCTTTAAATAAATAATATTGTTAAAAAAGGTTTATGAATTTTTTAAATCCTCATAATTTTAAAAAAATGCTTTTGTCATATAATATTATTATTTTAAAACTTTTTATATATAATAGAAATTTAAAGTTTTTTATTATTATAAAAATGTATTTTTATAAATATTAAAATTTTTTTGAAATAATAAAAGTATTATTTATATAATATAATATTATTATAATAAATAAATTTATAGTGAAAAATACGTTATACGTAATAAAAATAATATTTTAAAGCTTTATTTTTTAAAATTTTTTTACTATTTTTAAAGTATTTATCATCGAATATAATATTCTTATAGTTTTATTATAATTATTAGTGTTAGACATACTTGTTACTACCAAGTTTTACTCGTATTACTTAATTATATTTTATTATTTATTTAATATATTATTACTTTTAAATAATTTTATTATTTTGGTGTCCTAAACTTTTTTCTACTGAATTTACTTTTTATTTTGAAGTTACTAAGCTGAACTAATTTGTATCCTAATTAGTTTGCCAGGTTAATTGCTACACGTTATTTTTTTCTTTTTCGATAAATTTGTTAAATTAATATTTATTAATGATATATTAAAATAATTTATATTTGTAAACTTTTAACGCTTTAAATTTAATACTAAAAGTTTTAAATATTTTACTTAGAAAAATTAACTAATACTTAAAAAAACGTTTTTATATTAATGGAAGTTTTATTAATAAATGATTCAAAGATACGACGATTTAAAGTTTATATATTAAATATTATTACATGTAAAAAAGTTTGATAATTATTATACTATAAGAATTTCGATAATTATAAATATATTTAATTTTTTAATATAATTACAAAAGTTTATAAAAAATATTAATATTTTAACAAAATAATAAAAATGTAGTATTATAATAATTAAGCCTTTTAAGAAAAGATAAGGAATGGGTCTAATATAAGAAAAGTAAAGTAAAATAATAAAATTGGTTGGATGTTATAAAAGTAATAATAATATGTTTAACATTCATATTTATTAAAAATATTAACTTTTTTTTTAAAAAGTTATATATTTATATAAATATTTTTATAAGGAAGAATGTTAAAATTTCAAATAATTATTAGTTAAAAGATAATAATGAGTGAATGTAATCGTAATGAAATATGAATATAAATTTTAAAGTAAAAAAGGGGTAGAAATAATATTTAATACCCTTAAAAGATACAATATATATTTTGTGTATGAAAACTTTTTATAAACGTTTAGAAATGAAAATAGTAATAGTTTATAACGTGTTATAATGATTAAAATCCGTTATAAAAAATGTGCCAAATTTACTGAAGTATTCTTGATATTTATAATATCTAAATATATGTATATATTACATACAAAATAATGAAGGGCTTTAATGAATAATAACAAAGTAAAAAATAGTTTACCTCATATTATTGTAGATAGTAAGAAAATAGTAAGATTTACAGTCATTCAAATAAAATAATAAAAAATCAAGTGAAATGCTTAGAATGAGATAATTTATTTTTTTATATTTTCAAAAAAAACAAAAATATAAAAAATATATAACATTTTTAAATATTATTATAATAGTAATACAATAATTTATAGATTTTATCTTTACTATTATGAAAAAGATGTACTGATTGCATTTTAAAATTTTATTATATATTATATAAAGAAAAATTTTCATGTTTATTAATTAAACTTATTATTAGTATAAAAACTGTTGAATAATGAAGTGAATTATATATCATCGCCAAAACTTTTGCGTTACTGTAATATTTTTATTAGCAGCTCGTGATTTCTGGTTCCCATCAATATTGTGACATTATTTGTATATATTTTGTACATTATAAATATTATGAACTACTAATTAGTAGTGTTTTGTAGCTTGCCTCACCATTACTTCCTAACCAATTATTTAATTATTTTCTGCCAATAAAAAAATTGGTAGTTTTTATTAACTTGTCGCGAGCACAAGTTTATTTTTGTTTTTTTTGTTCATAATAAAATAATAGTAATTATAATAATATCTCGAAGGAACTGGCAAAACTTTACTTGCAAGAGCGGTTGCTAATAATATTGAAGCGAACTTTTTAAAAGTCGTGTCTTCTGCTATTGTTGATAAGTATATTGGTATGCTAAAAACGTTACGTAAAAATAGATGTTTAATACTAGTAATAAAGTAGAGTAGAGCAAAAAAAATTTTCAGTAGAGAAAGTAAAAATATAATTATAGTAGTTTAACCAAAAAAATTATAAAAGTTAAACAGTTTTTATAATGAATTTTTTACTAAAAAGTATAAAATTTATAATTTTTTATGAAATTTGATAAGAACTTTTTTATTAACAGGCGAATCTGCTCGTTTGATTCGAGAAATGTTCGGTTTTGCGCGAAGCCACGAGCCTTGCATTATTTTTATGGATGAAGTTTATATTCGATTCTTATTATTACTGTTTTTATTATTTTGTAAAAAATTATTATTATTGACTTTTCTTATATGACTTAATAAATATTCCACACTTTTTTATTTTATTTGTTACATTTCCTGCGCTTTTTTTCCTTAATTTCTTTTTGTTTTTCATTAAATTTTTGTTATTACAATTTTTATACAATAAAAAAAATATTAAACGTTTTAAATTTTTTTAATAATAATTATATTCATGCGCTTTCCATCATTTTTTTTTGTTGATGTTTTTTTATTATTTTTGTATTTACATAATAATACTTGTATAAACTTTTAACAAAGATTTTATTTATTTATTATCATTATTGTTATAAGCTTTCGGAAGCCTTTTAATGTTATTTTTTCTTTATATGTTTATATACTTTTTAGCATTATTTGCCTTTTTATATTAAAAATATATATGATTTTCAAAATTTCTATTATATTTATTTATTTCTTATATGTGAACATATACATTTATTGATTTCTTTTCTATTTTTATAGAACATTTTATTATTTTTTAATTATCTTCTTACAGGTTATATATAAAAATAATTTTTTTCAAACATACAATAAAATTTTTTTAGTTTTTATTATTTTCAGTTATTTTAGTTACTAAAATCTATTATTTATGCAATATTCTTATTTAATCATTACTTATCAGTATTATTTACTTCTTTATCTAGATTCGCATGAACCTTTTATTATTGAGTTTTTTATCTTTACTTATTATCGATAGAAACTTTTTATTACTAAATTTTATATATTATATAAAGTAAACTTTATGGAAGTTTTTATTTATTTTATAATTATTTTCTCCTTTTAACATAAATGTTTGAATATTTGAGTGAAAATTTTTATAACGCAAATTTTTTTTGAAAGTTTTTTATTTTTTTTGTTATTATTTGGTTCTTTATTAATGTTCATTATTATTATAACTTCTTTTTAACTATAAACTTGTAACCTTCATCTTTGCATTTACATTTTAATAATTTACTTTTTTTGCTATAGATTTGTTGTAAAGAAAATATATTTAAACATTATCTAAATTTACTATTAAGTTTGCATAAAGTTTTTGACAAGTGTTTTTTGTTATTTACAAATGTTTTTATTATTTACTTTTATTATAAAAATCATTAATTGTATAAACTATAAAATATATTTTATTTTTATTTTTTGTATTATATTTTAAAAAGTTTTGAAACTTTTTTCCCTGAAAAGTATAATTTTATATTTTAACAAGTTAATTGTTATATTTTTTTACTATTATATTCATTAATAAACTTTATTTAAGTTTTTTTAGTTTTTAAACATTTTTATTATTTTTATTTTTTCCAGATCGATGCTATTGGAGGAAAACGTTTTAGCGAAGGCACGTCAGCGGATAGAGAAATTCAACGAACTTTAATGGAGGTTTTGCTTTCATTAATTTTTTTGATGCTGCCTTTAGTAACTTCTCTTTTTAGGTATAACTATGCCCTATAAATACTATTTTTTTTCTAATTGATTATTTTTTATAAATAATAAAAATACTAACAGCTACTAAACCAAATGGACGGCTTTGATGAGTTGGGAAAAGTGAAGATGATTATGGCCACTAACCGTCCCGATATTCTCGATCCGGCTCTTTTGAGGCCCGGTTCGCTTCGTGAATACTTATTATTACTGTTTTTATATATTTTTTATAAAAGGACGACTTGATCGAAAGATAGAAATTCCTCTTCCCAACGAACAATCCAAATTGGAAATATTGAAAATTCACGCTGCCCCTTTGTCCATACAGGGGAGCGTCGGTATATAGTAAATTTTATAAAATTATGAATATGAAAGTATAAAAAAAGTTTATAATTTAGTAAAATAATATGATGACAATAGATAACCAATTAATCGTTTAATAAGTAGGCGAATGGTGATCAATAGTTAGTAAATTTAGAAAAATTTGATGCGTTAATTAGTAATTAATTATTAATATAAATATTGGTAAAAGAATATCTGAACAAATAGTATATATTAACTTTCAGAACCATTCACATATCTAATAAAATAGAAATTGGCAATACTGAAAAAAATAAAACTTTTAGTTATAAATGGGCCAATGATTTTGACTAAAAATTTGTAAGTCCCGACGAATAACATTATAAAATAAAAATTATGAACTTTATTAAATTTAAAGAAACTAGAATAATTTTATTATTTACTAAATAAAATATAAAGTAAATATTATATTTATTATTAGTAAATAAAGTTGTACTTTTTGATTCTTAATAAAAAACTAAAACAAGAAGCAATAACAAATTGTATAATGAATAAAATATGGTTTAAATAAAGTGGTTAAATAACTGATTATAATAAAATAAAATTAAGAATTTTATCAGTTTTATTATCAATAAGTTTTAAGAAGTTATAATTTTTTATTTGCTCTGGAAGTTTGCTATATTGTTATATAAAGTTTATATTATTTATACAAATTTAACGATACAAATCAGAAAAAAAACTTATTTATTAATTTATCTTTGTCTAAAACACCGAACTTACTGATAGGTTGAGCAGTTAGTAGTTTTAATGACTTATAAAAAAATAACCACTGAGAAAATAAATAAATCAGTTTCTTATATACATATTATATTAAACAGTATCTTAAATTTATAATGTTATTAGTGTTGAGTAGTTTATTGGATTAATTAATAAAATTTATAAACCTTTCACTAATTTTAAAAATTATATACATTTAATTTTTCATAAATTTATATATGAATAAAGTTATTCAGCAAAGTATTTTTTTAAATCATATAAAAATAACATATTAATAAATTTCTTTATTTTCTTATAATATAAGTCAAAAGTTATCCAAATCATTTCTTATTATATGAATTAACCAGTTAATTGTGTTTTAAATTTTATTGAAATAATAAAGTTATTATGGCAGTTAAATAGTTTACTATATAACTTTAATAAATTTATCGATCAATGATTTTTATAATAATTACCAGTAGATTGTATTGTAAATTCTCTTCTTAAATTATAATTATTATCGGGTATATTTATTATTATTAGATTATGACGCTGTAGTAAAACTTACGGACGGTTTTAACGGGGCTGATCTAAGGAATGTTTGCACTGAAGCAGGTAAAACTTTATATATACTGTAACTATAAAAAAGTTGGTAAATATTAAGTTAATTTCATATAAGAAATTTTATTGCAATATTTATAATATTCCTTTAAGAATACTTATAAATGTTCGAAAATTATATAATAATTTGGCGCTAATTATTAACAAAAACTTTACCATTATTTTTATGTAATTTTGAAAATATTTTATCTGGTAAAAATAAAATAATCAAACGCTGATAAAATCAAATTTCATTTCTTTGTAATTATATTCATTTTTTATCGCTTATAAAAAAATATATTATAATAATTACCAAATTGTTTTCACAGTTGTTACAAATATTTTTATTTTAAAGATTCTAATTTTAACTTAGGCTTTTTTATTTATAAAATTTTTATATTTACAAAATTTACTTATTTAATTCATAAAAAAAATATAGAAATTAGTTTTTTTAATTTAAAAATGTGTATAATTTTTTTATTAAACATAAAAAATGTAAATGGTAAGTATTGACAGGGCAAATAGTTATTATATAATATTAAAGTTTTCTACAAGAATTTATTAATTGTTATAATTATTTTATTATATAAAACTTTAGTCATTCTAATAAAATTAGGCTTTTACTATATTTTTTACCTCCTAAATTTTTTAATAACAATAGTTTTTGATTAAAAGTAATCTAAATATAATTAATATATCAAAAATAAATCTGAAGTATTTTACAAATTTATTTTTTAACATTAAAAATTTTGAAGTCATAATTAAATAATAAAGAATTCTTCATTTTATTTTTAAAATTTTTAAATTTAATTATAATTTTTTTCTATTTTTTATATTGAATTCTTATAATGAAAAATTTAAATTTTAATTAGTTTATTATTTCATTTATAAAGAACTTTTTTTTATTAATTTTAAAATATATTGATAAGTTTACAATATTATATACCAATTTTTATTCTATTTTACATGATAAATTGTTATTATAAAATTGTTATTATAATTAAAAAATATTAGTAATTTATATATTAAATATAAAACTGAATTTTTTCAGTTTATAATTATAATTTTAATGAAACCTTTTTTATTTTTAATTAATATAATTACTTAAGTAATTATAAAATTTAACATAAATTATATTTTTCTTTATAAATAATTAATGTAGAAAAAATACAGAAGTTGCTTATTCGTTATAAACTTTTTTTTAATCAGTTTATTATTATAAAATTTTTAAAAACTTATTTTTTTAAAAAAAATTAATAACTTATTACTTTATATTATATTATTTTCCTTTATTTCTTTTTCTTTGTATTATATTACTTCATTTTTTGTAATTAATAATTTTATACATTTAATTATTATTTTTTATTTTTCATATTAAAAAAATTATAATAAAAAAATGTAGGAAACGTTTTGAAATTTTTTAACCTTTCTTCAAGTACAAATTTTTTTTAGTAACAATTATTTTATTATAATCCATATACAAATTTATTTTAAGAATAGAAATAAAGAAAGAACGCTAGAAGACACTTTAGTTCATTTATATGTAATAATAATATTTTACAAATTATTATTATATATTTAATTCTACACAAAAAAGTAATGGAAACTTTTTAAAAGAATTTTTAGTGTTTAATGAATTTTTAACTTTTTTTATTTCTGTATCTACTCTGAAAAAAACATTTTTTTATGTTTTTTCAGAGTTTTTTTTTAACTTTTTCTGTTATCAGTTATATAATTTACATTTGAAAATAATTTTTTAAATCTATTAAATAATTTGAAGAAAAAGTAAAATAATTTATTGTTAGGCATCTTTGCTATTCGAGCGGACCGTGATTGGGTACTTGAAGAAGATTTTATGAAAGCAGTTCGAAAAGTTGTGGACGCTAAAAAGTTGGAAAGCAAATTAGATTATAAAAAATTATAATTCTTAAATAAATTTTATATTTATTTCTTAATGATTTATTTTAGACTTGTTATTATTTGCAGTAAAACATTTTTATATAATAATAACTTGACTTTTGTCAAACTTAATAATTTTCTTTAAATTTACTTTTCTGTGCAGTTAAATGGGTATTATATCAAGTTATAAACTGCCGATACCAGATAAAAGCGCGTGCGCATCCAATTTAATTAAGATTTTCATTTTATTATTAAAGAATGGGGTTGGCGAATTCTTAAAAATAGAAATCCTTTTCAGCCTTTCATATCCTTGCAGGCTCAAAGGGATTATAGAAAGAAATTTTGGGTTAGGGTTAGGATCATTTACAAAGTAAGTAGTTTCAAATATTATAAATGTGTAGAAGCGGTCAGAAACAGTCTTCTTGGCTTGGTCGTCAGGGTGCGCGTGTTGACCGCTATTCCACCTATAAAACATCTTGTTTTATATTTATTGATCACTCAGGTTTAAAAAATACCACGTGCGAGGGTAAACAATACTCAAATTATTTATTCTCATTTAAATTTTTGTTAATTAGAAAATTTGTTATGAGGCTTCTCCCTCCTGGGTGAGGAGCTCACAATCGGGGGGGAGGGGGGGGGCCTGGCTGGCAGTGGTGCTGGGCATTATCTCCAGGTGGCTTCGGGTCTTGTGACTAAGTTTGCCTCTCCAAGTGGTTACTTTTGAACTGACCACACACTAGGCCGAATGGCGGGAGTCCGGGTCCGATTTTTCTGCTTTTCCAGCCTTTCGGGACGGCCGTTAGAGCTCTCTAAAGAGAGTATACTGGCGATCACTCGTGATCCAACCCCTGCAGAAGAGGGGAATTAATATTAAGCGGCTTAAGGTTTTAGTAAGAAGACCGGCCGTAGTATGCCAGTGCCCAAAAAAAAGAAAATTTATTAATATTTTCAATTTTTTTAACTTTTTCAGAGAAGTTTATTTCGTTTTTTATCTTGGAATCCTTTTAAATTGTATAAATTTTTTTTTGTGTTTTACATTTTAAATAAATTTGCTTTCAGTCAAATAGAAATTTATTAATATATTCTTTAAATATTGGTTTACCTTAAATTTTAAATAAATCTATTATGTACCTGTTACTTTATGCAAACTCAATTATTTTTTAAATAAATGTTGAAATTTTTAGTTATCTAATTATTTAAAAAAGTACCTATAAATTAACAATTCATATATTCTAAATTTATTTTTATTATTAATTTGTTTTGTTAAATTAATTTTTTTTGAGTGGGTATTTAATTTTTACGAATTCAGTTATGAAAATTACTAAAAAAAAGTTTAATAAATTTTATTATAATTTTTATTTATCTAAATTATTTTACGCGGACTTGGTTTTTTTAAAAAAAAATTTATTAAACGTCTAAGTTTTGTAGATAAATTTTTTTTATAAACTTTTCTTTTGGAAAACTTAATTTTTAACCCCCTTGTTTTAAGTTTTTTTTAAAAAAAATTACAATAATTTTTTGTAGAGTTAACTGAATTAATTTAAAATTTTTATTTTTGGAAATCTTTTTTAAAAGTTTATATTCATTTTTAATTCAGTTTTAATTTGGATGAATATTTAAAATGTTTTTAGGATGACACGAATTGTTTACTTCTAAAACCCTTTTGTCATATATAAAAAACATTTATTTCACTCAACGCAAGCAAAAAACGTTTATTACGGCTTCACTCTGGATCGTTAGAAAATCATTAATTTTTTTTTTTTAATTTTATTTTATGTTTGAAAACAATGTTTAAGAAATTATTGTTTAAAAATAGGAAAGTTTATGATAAGAAGAAAGATAATTTAATTATTGAGAGAATTGAATAAAAAATAAAATATCTTGCTTTTATGTTTTTCTATTAATTTTTTTTTAAATTAATATAAACTTGATTTAAAAATATTTTTCTTATACGACCTCTTTTCACTATTTTTTAAAACGCGCTTTAGGATTTTAGTGACAACAGAGAGTTTAGCAATCTACACTGTGCACTTTGTTTTACACGAGAAAATATTCATATAAAAGTTTTTGTTATCATTTTTTAAAAAAAATTTCCATGTATAAAGTTTTAGGAAATATAACTGTTACAGAAGTTTATAATAATTTTTTTACAAAGATTCTCATTTAGTTTCTAGTAAAAAGGATATTTAAATTCTCTGAATAATATTTTGCATAGCCACTTAATCCACCCTTTATTCCTATAAAATGGTAATCACAGAGTAAATAAGTTTTTAGGAGTAAAGTATGTCCCAATAAATCTTTGTGGGTAGGTTCATTTGCTCAAAGTAAAGGTTATATATCGTCTTGAAATTTAATAAAGCGCAGATAAATAATATTTGCTAATAAATCTTAATCAAACTATCAGTAAATATAATTTTAAGTACTTTGTTCAAAGGCGGCTCCTTATCATTAATTTCTATTTTAAGTATAAAGAGATAAAATGCTAGGCGTATAAGCTTTGAAAGTTAGATAAAAATACAAACTTGTTTTATTTATCTATTTTGTAAATGCTTAAGAAAAAAAAACACTATGACTAAAGCACCTGCCATAATAGCAATACCCTCCTGAATTATATAGTTTGTGTATCAATGTTGATAGACCTGCTTACATTGTTAGTTTTTACTATCAACAAAAAAAGCAAACGAGTATATGTTATTTTTTTACTAAGTATCGGTTCTCAAGATGCTCCGAAATGCAAAAAAGGTACTGAAAGCAACTCTTTAGTAGTATGTTTTTCTTTGAATTAAATTCTTTTTAGGGCTACAAAAGATTTGGGCTATGAGTACGAAGGAAAAACTGTTTCCGTAATTTTTATTCTACCTCTATAAGCTTTCTATACTTTTAATATTTTGAATTTACTTCTGGCTTTCTTTGTAGAGAGAATTTCTTTTTTGGCTTCGCCGTAAGGAAAGACTACAATTTGCCGTTAGAGAATGCGAAAAGAAACTACTTTATGGTCTATATAGTTGCTCTTTTATAGTTGCTTTACGTTTTTAAATTTTTCGATTTTATTATAATTACAATTTTTTCTTGTTATTTTAGAAAAAAGGGACTCTAAAAGTGAAACAAAAAATTATTTGCTTAAAGTTACAGATAACATAAAAAATTCGGAATCTTTTGCAAGCACTATAGAAAAAATAACAGAGAAAGATCTTATTAGAAATTTATCTGTTAAAGATATCCCTGAAAATCTTTTTAATTCTCTTAATACCACAAAAACGATTAAAGAAGAAAAATTAAAAACTTTAGATTCAGTTTTAAATAATCTTAATAATAAAAGTTTAAATCACAAGAGAGCCCATCCAATGACCGTTGATTCCACAACCCTCGAAAGCAACAAAATTAAAATTGAAGAGTTTCAGAGTTTTGACAACTTTAAAACTAATCAATGTACTAAAAATTCAGTTGTTAACGAAATTAACCCCGATCCATTAAAATCTACTTTTAACTATTTTTATGATAAACCTCACCAACTTGAAACTGAATGTGAAGATTCTTTGACGCAGCTTCATCATTTAGCTAATCTCGAAAAAATAATTTTTGAACTAAAAGAAAAATATTATCACTTGTCCACTGTTAAAAATGCTATAAAAATATCCATAAAAAGGTTTAGAAGTTGGCCTTCTCTGTGAATGTCTAGATTCTACTTTCTAATTTTGTTAACATGTATTTTTCAAATTATTAGTACAAAAGGTTTTGGTTTGTATTTACTTACGAGTATTATTTGTGTTTTATTAGTTTTTGAAAATCTCGCTTTACAATTTTTTTTAATATGGCCCTCAGTCAGGCTATTTAGAAATTTATTCAAACTCTTAATTTAAAGAAAATGAAAAGCTGTCAAAACTGCGTTTAATATAAATTTTGGTCTGTGTTGCATTTAAATTTATTTAGTAGTACATACTAGCTTTCCAGTGCTAAATTTATAAAGTCCGTTGTATCAAGATTGCTGAATAAATTAGTTACATTAAACATATTTTAACCGTTTTTTTAACAAAGACGAACGCAAATTTTTTATTAAGAAAATTTTATTCTTAATTAATTTCAAGGAGAGCTTTTATCTATATTTATAATTATCTAATTTTTTTCATCCTGTATAACGATCAAAAATTTAATAAATGATTTATAAATTAAAAAAAAATTTAGTGTATCAACTTTTAAATTATAAACTTTTGCAACCAAGTGAATAACTATTGGCTTTCTTTTTTTCCTCAGTTATATAATACATTTTTAAAACTTTATTTTTGACAAGAAAGCAATTTTTTAGTTTAATTAATTTAGGGATTTAGTTAAGAGTAGTTTTTGTGCATGTCAGCTTCTTTGATATAAGTAAATTTAGTAGAATACTGAACTTAAATTTTGCACTCTTGTTTGAAAGACTTCGATTATAATCTTTTTTACTTTTTATAGAAAAGCTTACTTAAATCACCTTGAAAAACTGCAAGCCTCTCCAGTTCATTCTTTAAATGATTTACAAAAGTGACTTTTTTTCTTTATTTATTTTTATAAAAGCTATTTAATAAATTATAATTAAATAGAAAAATTCTTCGAACAGTTAATAAAATTAATTTTGTATACGACGAAATTGGCGTTTTAAGGAAAAAAATTAGAGAAACACAAGAACAAATCAAAAAGTTCATTCAGTTGAACAAAGGTATTAACTGTTTAATTATTGCCATTATTATATATATATATATATATATGAACTCATTGCAAAGTTTAGTTATTTTTAAGGAGTTGAAATATTCACTACATTGCTTACTATTTTTGATAGTTTAAATTATTTAAGTTTTCTTTTTCATATATACATTATATGTATATCTTTTTAGAGTAGTTTTTTAATTATTTGCCGCAAACAAAAAATTAAAAGCAAATTTAGTGTAAAAACTAAACTTTTATATAAATTTAAATTTTTGATTGGTATTTAGATGGATTCGCTTTGCTTCTTACTCATATGTTTTTTTTTTAATTTTAAATATAAAAATTAGAAAGGTAAAGTAATTTTTTATCGATAAGTAATTACTTACTCTGCTCTCTTATGAAATCTTTTAGCATAATTAAATTAAATCTAATCCTTTTATATAATTTTAATATATTTACTTGGCCTAAAGTTCTGACTTACTACTGTATTTAATACTAAATTAGTAGATTAAGAGTTTATAGTTTTTTTAGGGAATAATAAAAAAAAGAATTATATTTATTAATCTTTAGATGTTTTTTTATTGCTTTAATATTATAAAACGTTGGTTATTTTTTTCAATAACAAAAATAACAGCATTTTTTTTTAGAAAAAATTTTGGAAAATATTCAACTTTCAGAGCTACTGAATAAATCTTTTAAACTCAGAAAAGAGCGAGATTGGAAAAATGCAAGTTCAGCTTTTTTTGAGTAATTATAAAATTTTATATAATTTATTGTAGTAAATAATTTTTATATATATTTTTTGTTTTTATATTTTCATAAAGAAGAGTGTTAAATCTTTTTTTAAAAATTTTTTCTTATTTGATTTCAATTGCTATTAATAAAAATCCTTTATAGCGCTTGTAAACCTGAAAGTAAAATTGGCTTGCAATAAAAATTCAACAGTTTTTAATATTTACTGATTGAAAGATGGTTTGATATAACAAAGCTCATTGATTGGGAAAACGTTTGCGTCGGCTAATAGCCTCATTATATAGGCGTAAAATATATTTGCAAACGAAGAATTTTATTAGTAATTATTTTGTAGCCCCGGCCACGTGCACTTAAGCTTTATCACATGGTTTTTCTTTAATACCTCATTAGCCTGTTTATAGAAAGTTTTTTTTATAAACTTCTAAACCACGTAGTGTTACGTTATGTATCAATGAAAATTAATGTTAACTTTTAGAGTTCTTGTTACTATATGGCTATCTTTTCTGTGGCGTATCGTTGTTTTAGCTATAAAGTATTAGATTAACTTTTATTTATATAACTATAAAAGTATGCAAATAATTTTAAAATATTTTTTCACTATTTTTAACTAAAATGTAAACAGCAGTCATTGGGTCTCCTTCATTTTCCTTATATGGTAAAAATTCCCTTTTTGGTCATTTCATTTTTAAGGCTAACTTTCATTATTTTTAAATGAGATGATCAAACTGCTTCTCCGCACATCAATCATAAAATCCCAAAATTTTTTTAAATATATATTAACGAAGCAAGTATTGTAACGGCTCTAGAATATTTATCAGCCATAATAATATTTTAAATTTGAAGGGGAAAATAGAGGAGCGAAATAAATGTTGAACGCATAAATTATAGACATAGCCTTTTTTTTTTTGAGGCTACCACCTTCATAATGAGGCGTTATAGAAAAACAATAAATATATAAATAAATATTAATGCACCTTAAGTAAAGGTTTATTTAGTTTAAGTTCTCTATAATAATACTATCCATGAAACCATATAAACAGCAATAAATTTTATAAACTTGAATTTTTTTTAATTATAACTTATTGCAAGTCCTTTATATTATCTAAACGGTGTATAGTCAAAAAAACTTCTTTTTTTTTTATTTAAATCTATAATTTAACTCGCAAACTGTTGTTCAATTAATATCTCTTCAGTAAAAAAAAGATTTGATACACTAGCTCTCTAAGCAAATGTTGCCGAATTTCTTTAACAGCGTGCTCTCGGTCCTACTAAACATGTGGCTATCAATATTCCAGCTATTCTTCAATTTTTTTCTTTAATATTAAATTCACACTATAAATTTTAAGCATAAAAACTTATAATCATCAAAATAATAATTTGTTGTAGCTGCTTAACCGCTTATAAAAAAGTAGTTTTCTTCAGAAGACCGTTAATAAAACTCTATATACTTCTTATAAATAAAATAAACAGACTTTTATTAAAGAAGAACGTCACAAATTTAAATTTTACTATATTTTATTACTAAAAAATTATTAACCACGTTTTTGTATGAATGACAATAACTTTATTAGAGCAGAAAAAAAATTATTTACTGCAAAGAATAAAAATACTATACTTCGCCACGTGTTTCAGGTTTAAATTGTTATTTATTTTTTTCTACTATTTTTTTAATTTTTTTATTAATAAATAAGAAAATTCAACTTTTTTACGTATTAAGTTAATTATATATAATATTATAACAGCAATTATAAGTTAATAAAAATATTATAGACTAACTTTATATAATTTGAATAATAAAACTAATTAATATAGAATAATAATAAACATATATGATAAATAATAATGCATTATGGTTTTACAAAAATTAACATACTAAAGTAAAAATAGTACTAAGTAAAATAATATTATTTATTTTAAATTATACTATAATTATTTATATAATAATGGGATATTACAGGGAAAATAAGTATTTGTTTGTACTTTTAGGTATTTTTTTTATATTATTCACTTTTTACTGTATAATACATTATTTATTATTACACTATTTAAAATTATAAAAATATTTATAAACAAAATAATAAAATTTGTTTGTAAAAAAAATAAATATTTGCAGAATTTTTTTTTGTTAAATGCACCATAATTTAATGTTTTAATTATATTATTGATGTGAATAATTCAAAAACTTTTATAAATTATTTTTATATTATACATAGAAAAGAATATAATAAAAAAATACATATAAATAAAAAATAATAAATGTTAATACTTTTAATATCCATAACTTTTACTAATATTAAAAGTTTATAGTAGAAAAAATAAATATTAATACATATAAATAATCTTAATAAAATAATAAATTTTTTGATATCAATAACCTTACTCTCCCGTCCAAAAAAGTTTTACTTTTTTTGTATATATTTATTATCTTCTAATGTGTATATTATTACTTTTTATTATAATAGAAACAAAATTTATTTTACTTATTTATTGTTATTTTAAAATGACGTAAATATTTTATATAATATATTTTTATTTTTTCTTAATTTTTAATAATTTTTTATTAATTTAATAAATAATTAACTTTCATTATAAAGTAGACGTTTACTTATTTTTTTATATAGTAAAATTATATAATAAATGTATATACTTCTTTATTTGTGTATAATATTATAAACTTTTTATAAAGTTTATATTTCTAAAAAATATTTTATTATTTATTCTTTTAAGTTTTTTTACTGTTGGTTTGCGTATTATTAACGGTTTTAATATGAATTAAATTTTTATAAAAAATATAATTTTTTATATTGTTTTATTTTTTTAAGAAAATCTTATTGGTTTTTCAAAATTCAATTTTTTTAACTATTTTTTATTTTTTAATATAATTATCATATTTCTAATTATTACTAATTATTTGTAAATTAATCAATAAAAACTTTCAAATTATGGGGAATAAATGGAGTTAAGTTAATATTAACAAATAATAGAAGTATTAAAAATGTTAAAATATTTAATAAGTTTAATCAACAATAAAAGTTATAAAAAAAAGTTTTAGAATAATAATGATAATAATTATATATTTTAAAACAGTGAAACAAAAAGTTAAATAATAATAAAAGAGTAAACTTCTTGAAACCAAAAATGTTATAATAACTAAATAAAAAGGAAAAAAAATAACAAATATTAATAAATAAATACTTTTATATAATATAATAATATAAGTTAAATGAAAATAGTAAATATATAATAATAAATAAATTTTATTAATAATAAAATAATAATAGTTACAAAAAAGTAAATAATAATAATTAATACTTAAAAATTATTCTCTTATAAAAGTAATTATTACTAATTAAAGAAATACGGGAATAAACAAATTAATAAGTAGATAAATATTTTATAATAATATAAACTTTAAAAAGGTAATTTACAAATAATAAAACTTTTATATTATAAAGTAAAATACTTAGTAAAAATATAACAATAAAAATAAACAATATCGATAAATATATAAATAATTAAATAAAATTACAAAACCAAATAAATTTATTTTTATAATACAATCTCTTTAGTGTATAAAAGAAATTATAATAAAAAAGTTAATTCAGAATGATTAATATATTATCAAGAATATTAAATAAACAAGTATTAATAAAGAAAAGATAAAGTAAAGTAAAATAAAAATAATAATTGTGTTTTTATTTAAAAACTACATATAAATTTTATATTTAATAAAAAATAAATCATTTTTAAATTATAGAAGGATCATTAAGTATATTTTACTACAGTGACATTATTAAAATTATTTTTGTAAATTTCAATTAACGTATAAAAATTTACATTTGTTCTATTAATAAATTTATTAGTTATTAAACTTTTATTCTCAAATTTTATTATATAGTTGTAAAAAGTAATTATGACAAGGAAAATCTTAAATCAAAATATTCGTATTTCATTTTCAAAATTTCGAATTTAAATTAATAGTTCTATAAAATTTCTGAAATAATTAATTATAATAATATTTATTTCTTAATTATTAATTTTAAGCATCTCCTTACTACGGCGCCAGTAGAATGGAGCGAGCTGAACGAACTTTGTGAGAATTTAAATGAACTCGGACTTCAGTTGGATCGTTAAGAGTTGTGAGAATTTAGAAAAAATTTTTATAATTTTTTAAAAAAACTAGATTATTATAAAATTGTGAACTTCTATTTATATTATATTAAGTAAAAAATATAAAATCTTTTAACTTTATTAATAATAATTATAATTATTTTAATTCAACTAACTTTATAATTCTTAAAAAATTTATTATTCTTGTAAATTTTAGTAAATTTATTACATTTATATAGTAAAATAGTATATTCAAAATTTTAAATAAAATAATATTTACGTGCGTTAAAAATTATCCTCCACTTCGCTGGAGATCGGCACTCGGAAGACTAAAGAACTTTGATTAGTAAAGTTTGGTGTTAAAACTTTTACTTTTTATAAAATTTAAACATTTAAAAAAATAATTTTTAAATAAAGATTTTTAGTTTGACAAATTTTTCCTTTGGAGTTAATAAGACAAAATTGACTTATTACTAGTCTAAAAAATTATTATTCATTTAGATCTATTATTATGATTATAGCATAAAAGTTATTCTTCAGATTTAAAAAATTTATTAAAAAAAAGTTAAGTGAATAGAAGAATATTCAATTTTTATTCTTTGAAAATAGAAGGTTAAACATTTTATACAAGACAAAAAAAATTTCAAATTGATCTCAAAATCAAAAAAAAGAGAGAATCTTTTAAGAATTAGCTAAATATATATATATACTTATCCATCTTAGCCGAGTCGATTTAGTTTGACATAATGATAACAAAATGGTTAATGTTACCTCAAAAGGATCAGTGCATTTTGTGAAATTATGGCTCCTTTCAAGTAAGGAACATTGAAATCGGAGTAATTCTGAGTTAATATAACCTGATTTTTAATAGTAAGAATTCTGAAGGGTTTTTAAAAATTGTAAAATATTTTAGCCAAAATTTTAATATAGAGAGCTTTTATAATATAATAAAATCCTTAAAAAAAACGTCAAGTGATATGATTACAATATTTTATTAGTAGTAGTACAATAAATATTAAACGTTAATAAATTTGATAAATTTTCAAATTGTTTTTAATAAGATTGCGACACTAGCAAATTTATATCACAACAATGTAAAAAGAAGGCTTAGCTTTAAAAATTCGCAAGAAAATAACCACTGCCGCTGCAAAACCACCTACTGTTAACGTCATTGCCAGTACAAAAAAAGCTCTCGTTAGACCAACATTTTCTTCCATGCTATCAACTAATAACTATTTATTGTTTTCACGTATTATTATTTTATAGTATGTAAAAAAAAAACTGATACGGTTTCGGGAATCAAGTTAAGGGAGATTAAACCGGCAGTCGAAATGACCCCGGCGATCCAGCCAATATCAAATTCTGTTCCTGAAAGATTTTTAGGAGAAATTATATTTCTCGTGTAAACGTAAGCATCCATCCATAACCACCAGCCGGTAGCAAATAGTAATCCTGAAAAAATAAACTATAATAACAAATATAATAAAAAAGGGATAAATAAAATATTTAAGTATTTAGATAAACTTTAAAGTTAAAGAAGTAATTAAAACCAGAAATAATCCCTTTTATAAAAAGTTTTGTCTCGTAGTTAATATTTTTAAAAAGCATTCTTCTAGGAAAGTGTAGTGAAAATAACAGACTGAAGCAAACAAAGTTGTTAGCAAAGTTGTAGGGGTAAACAAGTTCGGCCAATGATTTTGCCTTATTAACCGGCGAAATTTCTTAAGGTTTTTAGTTGTTTTTAATAAATAACTTTACGTTCGCTTATAGTTTACTTAAACTTTTTTAAATAATAAGAGGATTATTGTTATTAATAACTAATAATAAGGAAGTCTATGAAAGAACGTGATATGGTTAATGTTTGAAAGGTTCCCTTAAATTCGGGTTAGAATTTTAACCAAACTTGTCACGAGCCCCGTAACAAGTAGAGTTGAACAAGTCACTTCTAATGCACACTTAGCCTTATGACAATCATTAACAACTTTATATTAAATAGAAACGAGAAGACACAGCATTCACTTAAGCGAAGGGAGCAGAACGCGTAAAGTTCGACAAAAAACGCATTTCATCCCCTCTTGTACTTGTAAAATTTCCTAATGCGGAATCAGAAAAATTTAGCTGTAAAAAGAAAAGATTATTTTTATTACTGTAAAATCTTGAAAAAATAGGGAGAACGGAACTGCGGTTATTAAAACTTATTTCATGTACAGGTGTATACTGCAAGAATCACTACTATAAACTTTGTAAACAACCCCTTTTAATATCAATTGTAGTGGGTACATTTTTCCTTTTAAAGAACCTCATCTTTCGGAACAGGCGAAATAACTTAAGTACACTTAGAGGCAAGGACGTTAAGGGTTTTTACCATTCTGTAACGCCTCTTTCTAAAGGTAGTATAAGGAAAAACTAATAGAAAACCAAATCATGTTTTCATTCATATACTCGACTCAAGAAAATTCATTTATCCTAGCTAAGTTTCTGTCAAAAAAACTACACTATTAACTTCGAAAAAGTTACCTCAAGTAAGGCAAAAGTTTTTCTCTTGTCAGTTATAAAATATACATAAATAATTGTAAGGTTAAAAAGACTTAACGATACTAATTAGAAAATTAGAAGGAGCAGTATTTACATAAGATTATTTATACTATGTATTTTAAAGCTATACTTGCGAGGTGATGGCGGAGTGAAAATTGTTTATAGTAGGGTTAATAATTTTTATAATATCAATGGAACGGTTTTTGCTCGTCCTCTTTTACATGTAATTCTTTTATATAGTAGTTTTATTACATTTTCACACTAAAGTTAAAATTACTATTTGCTCATGCATATTTATAACGCTATCCCACGCACGATTTTAATAATTTTTTGGCGTGGAGGACAAATATAAATTTACTCCATAAGAATGCCAAGGAGAGAACCTTAAAAATAGTATAAAACCAGAAGACTTACCCTGCAAGCCCTAAACACTTTAAACTTGTTACCTTGTTTTGGTTAATTAATAATAACAGTGGAACGCAACCATAAATTTTGCTAAGTTTTTACTATTCCTCTAACAGTTGTGAAGTTCTAGAACTATAACAACAATAGCTAATTTTCCTATGGACACCTCATAAACTAAACTGTGCAGAGTACTCTGTTTTTCTTAAGCCATTGCCTGTTAAGAAGCCTTCTACCTTATTATTGAAAGCTTAAAGGCAATTGACTCTTTTTTCAATAATTCTGACCCAGGTTACTTGGACCTTATTGTTATTTTCTAGTACTGCAGGTTCTTGTTTTCAAACTCTTTGCTTCGCTTAAACATTAACTGTCACTTTGCAAAATTTTGAGCACCTCGTTACCAATTTGGACAATTATCTAAAAAACCAAAATTCTATCTATGACCAATCTTACCATAAAGTAATAAGTTAATTTGTCAATTTATTCATTCTTTGCTTCGTTATAAGAGTTTTTTCTAGTAACGTAAAATAATTAAAAGGTTCAAAAGTTACTCCTAGGTGACCAGCTTTTTTTTGCTACATAGTACTTAAGGATAATTTTTTATCGCAGAATCCTAAGAAGTAATTTATAAATCCCCAGTAATAATTTATTACTTTAAAAATGCTATTCTATAATATATGAAAATCAAACTCAAATTCTCAAAATGAACAGGATGTTAAAGTTAAATCACTAGGAGTAAATGACTGTACAATACCTACCTATTTATGCATGAATTCTCGTTATAGATTAGTAAATTTGCTTCTTTCGGAAGGCTGTAGACTATTAATTCTCCTAGAGCATATATCAAAAAGAAAAATCCAAAAATTCATATAATTAGCATTTATTAAGAGAGTTATTCTAGACCAACGTATAGCCACTTAGTATTACTAAAGCCAGTAGTCTCACCTTACCATCCTAAAAAAAGATCGAGCTATAAACTTTTAACACGTAACATTAGTCTAATCTTGTTAAACCAAAAAAATTACAAAAAAAAAGTTCGGAATCTTTTAGTCGGTTGGAGAAAACCCAAAAAGCTTTCAATCTAAAATACACTGCTCAGCTAGTCACACCAGGTAACTTTTAAGACTATTAAATCCCAGATTAAAAGATTTTAGAATAGCCGGAAGTCATAGCCAAGTTAGTCACCGAAGAAACTTCAACGTAATAACGAAATCGTTTTTAAGTTTATACTAAAGCTCTCTCTTCTGACAATTTTAGCTCAGTTCAGGGATGAACGAAAATCGTGACTGTAAGCAAGGAATTATGTATATCTGTCTTCAGAGAAAGCCTGCAAGGTCTGTAAAATAAAAAAAGGGGTTAGGAATAGTTAGAAACTCTTTTTCATTCTTTGGGGGCCTTAATTGCTCGAACTTTTTTTGTAATACTCAAGTGACTTTTCTTATGAATCGACATTTTATAAGTTGCTTTTCCGCATTTTTTATAACATTGCTAGTTTTTAACGTAGAGGAAATTCTAACGACTTTAAGTACCATACTTTAAGCCCGTTATTATGTTATTTAAGAGTCGTCGAGGAGTTTTTTATGGTAAACATACTATAAAAGATGAAAGTTTACCCTCACAAAAAAACTTTTAAAGATTGAATAAAAAACACATAATAATCCATTAGTCTGGCAGACACATTGTTTACTTGATCTGCGTTGGAAACGGTCCACAAAACTTTGTCTGAAACTAAATTACGTTTTACCTTATACTAAATTGTTATTAATATGGACTTCTTTCGTGCTATATCGAGTAACCACTTCAATAACTTGAGCTCTCAAACTGCTTTAGTCTCTTACAATTATAAGTTAAATTATTTTAAAATATTTTTCCTTCGCCCCTGAAACTTTCCTTCCACCCCTCACTCTTGCAAGTGTCATAGTTATGACTTCCTACACATTAAAAATATAAAAAATAAAAACGTACAAACTCAGACTTTAGTAGGCTTATAAAAGTTTTAAGCACTGATATGTTTTTCTGTTCAAAGAAATCTAATTGCTAGCTTTCGTACGGCGGTTTATAATTAAATACAAATTACTTTATTAATTTTCATTTTCTCTTTGAAATATAAACTATAACCCTTTTACGTGTTGCCCTTTGATAAACTCATTGGGGTAAGTGTTACACTGCTTCCATCTGGCCTAAAAGTTTTTTACACGAAAATCTCCAAGTTTTGTGCTAAGAACAGTAGCCGCCCCATATTAAGTAGCTTAAAATAATCCAATACAAAATAAAAACTTTTCTACAGAATTAACATCAAATATTTACCCCTTATAAGTTATGGTTTTTTAAAACGAATTAAACATATTTCTTTCTATATAAACTTTGTTTTAATAGCGAGGAACGAAAATCCTTTGCAAATGCATTACCAAATTTGTCACACTTTTGTGGTTTTAAATGCTCAATATCTTTTCCTCTTTTTAAGGGAACTGGGTGTATAACTACTTACAAGGGCTGTTCGCGGTAATCTCAGTATATACTAGCTAATAACACTATTCTAATAGTGCTAATGCCTATACATACTACTAGTACATATAGTACCAGCACTTTCACCATCAGTGACTGTCAAATAGTACTAATATAGATACAAACTATACCTATAGTACCCGAACTATTCTTTAGCGGCCGCCCAGATTTTCATCCCAACGGTACCGGCGGCCTATGGACGCAGGCTACTGCTATTGTGTCATTCATTGTACAAGACTGTGCTAGCAAACGCTTTCTCACGGAGTTAGTAGCTAGAAGTTACAGTACTCGTACAACTTAGCATTTTTCCCAAGATTTCAACCAAGATTCCACATGACCTGCTTGATTGCCTCTAACGACAATGTACACAGGCAACGCTAGTATACATCGCGCAAGACAATAAAAAAAAGTTCAAGTCAAATAGATTCATCCCGAGAGGCACGTTCCCGATTTATTCGAAGTTTCGATACTTGTAGCCGATTTAATTCAGCTTGAAATAACGGACTACGCTTCTGATACAGGTAATATAGAAGCTGCTTCAAGAATCCACCCATTGCACCGTTTTTGCCAGTTATAAGAGCATATGTCTTTTGACATGGAATTAACCTGCTCTCCTAAGTAGCGAAATAGCTTCAAATTGGTTAATTTAAGCAGGGCACCCATAATCAGGTTCAAAGGTTAATCTTTCAATGAATGGAGGATGAGACCAGAGCAAATCGCTTCAGTTTACTTAATTATTTTCGTCTGAAGTCACGAAAGCATTCAACCCTAGAGGGTTACTAAACACCACCTAAGGTTATGTAGTTTACACTCCAACGTTGGCTCATCTTAGGATAGCACTCTGAATATAAATTCGTTATTTCTAACTATTAGAAGACATCAGAACTAACAAGCGCAGCAGGCGCGTTAAGATAGGAACCAATCTTTTTTGGTCACTATACGATGACAGTCTGGGGTCAAAAAAGCAAACCTCGCTCCGTCAAAGAATGTACAACAAAACACTAAAGTCGCAAAATATGACTAACAGCCCAAAGCACAAAAACAGCGCCTAGTCTCCCCATTAAGGGGCCAACCTGCACAGCTAAGGTATAATGTACCTATCTTTGAATCATGACCTGTGAAAGTAGCCTAGATCGCTGTGGTCAAAGCACAATGAAGACAGCGAGGCATGCTTGTACGCGACCAAGAAACTGCGCCGCGCACGAGATAAAGTACGCAGCTAGATAAACGTTACTTAGCTTCTACCTATTTTATGACTTTTTCGTCAGCTTAATTATTTTAGTAAACACCACTATTTTGAACGTTTCAGGATTTTAAAGTTTATTTTGGTATCTTCCTGAATGAAAAATCATTAAAGTTGATATAATTTACTAGTGAAAACTAAATATCTAATTAAGGTAATTTTAACTAAAAATAGTTTAGAGTAAAATACATTAAATCGACAAAATAAAGTTTAGAATGGATATTTTAAGTACACCTTGAGCTATCGTTCGCAACTATTTAAAGTTATGTAGTATTTATTGCTAAAGCACTATCAGGACACCTTCCCGAAAAATCATTATATTTAACTTATAATCTGTTAAATCAATCCTAAAGCTAGTTATAGTACCTTCCATAATTTAAAATTATTCTGTTTAAGTTATGTATTACTTATTTTTTTAAGCACTAAAAAATCATGATAAATTCAAAATAACCTTATAACGACTTTTTAAAGGTTAAAAGTGCTTCTACTTAGAAAAAATCACAATTGTTTTATAAGTTAAAATAAGGCTTTCACCAAGTAAAGGAGATCAAAATACCAACCAGTTTATGTTAGCGAAAATGTAGATATTGAGTTTATGACTCTTAAGGTATTAGTCTAATTTACTTAATTTAAGTAAAAATTTAGTTAAGCATTATTGAAGGTTATTTAGGTTAACACTTAACTAATATTGTTGGTATTATTATTATTATATTGTTATTATTATAATTAAACTTTGTTATTAAAGGAGGAGGTTATTTATTTTATTTTTCACTATATAATAACATAAATATAGATTAGTTGAAATGTACAAAAAATTCGTTTAATAGTAAACTAAAAAGTTAACGAACTAAATATTACAGTACCTAAGATAGTACAATAAAGGATGACTTTTATCCCACGATTCAAAGGAACAAAGTTCCTATATAATTATTAAATTTTTGTTTTAATTGATCTTGGACTAACAGTTAACACTTCAACTAAAGTACATAAAGTTACAATAAACGTAGAATAATTAGTTAAGTTAATAATACGCTAATGGCTGCGAATGAAAGTTAAGGACATAATTCTTAAGTTAAAAAAGTAAGTTTTTAAAACTTGCTAAAAATCTGTTTTATTTATGTTACTTTGAGTATAAAGTGTATTATAATTAACTTAGACTAACCTTGGAATGATCAGTTGCTGTTTAGTTAGGCAAGAGCCGAGACAGTATCAACATAGCAAATAAAGTTAGCCGCCGATTACTATAAATGAATTATTTTGTTAATTTATAGAGCTTAGCCATCTTGACTAATATTAGGATTCCAAGTTTATTACACTATGGTTATCTTTAGCATGAGCTTTATAGCAGTTTTGCAGATACATGTTTCTTTCCTAGTCCTTAAAGAAGTTAACTAATTAGGCTTTTAAGATTTAGACAATCTGCTTTGGTAATGATAGGAAATTACTGCTTTAAGTAGATTTTTGCAGCTTTTATGAAACTTTACTAACTTGGTTGATCAAAATAGTGGTGTTTACTAAAATAATTAAGCTGACGAAAAAGTCATAAAATAGGTAGAAGCTAAGTAACGTTTATCTAGCTGCGTACTTTATCTCGTGCGCGGCGCAGTTTCTTGGTCGCGTACAAGCATGCCTCGCTGTCTTCATTGTGCTTTGACCACAGCGATCTAGGCTACTTTCACAGGTCATGATTCAAAGATAGGTACATTATACCTTAGCTGTGCAGGTTGGCCCCTTAATGGGGAGACTAGGCGCTGTTTTTGTGCTTTGGGCTGTTAGTCATATTTTGCGACTTTAGTGTTTTGTTGTACATTCTTTGACGGAGCGAGGTTTGCTTTTTTGACCCCAGACTGTCATCGTATAGTGACCAAAAAAGATTGGTTCCTATCTTAACGCGCCTGCTGCGCTTGTTAGTTCTGATGTCTTCTAATAGTTAGAAATAACGAATTTATATTCAGAGTGCTATCCTAAGATGAGCCAACGTTGGAGTGTAAACTACATAACCTTAGGTGGTGTTTAGTAACCCTCTAGGGTTGAATGCTTTCGTGACTTCAGACGAAAATAATTAAGTAAACTGAAGCGATTTGCTCTGGTCTCATCCTCCATTCATTGAAAGATTAACCTTTGAACCTGATTATGGGTGCCCTGCTTAAATTAACCAATTTGAAGCTATTTCGCTACTTAGGAGAGCAGGTTAATTCCATGTCAAAAGACATATGCTCTTATAACTGGCAAAAACGGTGCAATGGGTGGATTCTTGAAGCAGCTTCTATATTACCTGTATCAGAAGCGTAGTCCGTTATTTCAAGCTGAATTAAATCGGCTACAAGTATCGAAACTTCGAATAAATCGGGAACGTGCCTCTCGGGATGAATCTATTTGACTTGAACTTTTTTTTATTGTCTTGCGCGATGTATACTAGCGTTGCCTGTGTACATTGTCGTTAGAGGCAATCAAGCAGGTCATGTGGAATCTTGGTTGAAATCTTGGGAAAAATGCTAAGTTGTACGAGTACTGTAACTTCTAGCTACTAACTCCGTGAGAAAGCGTTTGCTAGCACAGTCTTGTACAATGAATGACACAATAGCAGTAGCCTGCGTCCATAGGCCGCCGGTACCGTTGGGATGAAAATCTGGGCGGCCGCTAAAGAATAGTTCGGGTACTATAGGTATAGTTTGTATCTATATTAGTACTATTTGACAGTCACTGATGGTGAAAGTGCTGGTACTATATGTACTAGTAGTATGTATAGGCATTAGCACTATTAGAATAGTGTTATTAGCTAGTATATACTGAGATTACCGCGAGCAGCCCTCATCACGACCACCTCGAAGGACTAAAAATAGGTAGCGATAAACTTTCGAGCTATATTTTTAACGAGAACACCTTTTAAGATTAGAACTTCTAAATGTATATTTTTATCTCTCTTTTTTTTTAAAAAACTATATCGTCTTAATGTATAGTAGTTTTACAACTCTTTCTAAAGCCCCTTCGATAAGAAATTCGTATTCGTAAAACTGGTGTTAGTAATCCTAGTAAATCTTAAAGGGCTCTAGACTCACAAACGAGAAATCCATGAAGGAGGAAAATTAATAGAAACTTGCATTATGTCGCGGATGGTATATATACATATTTACAATAAACAACTTCCTTGGACGCCACTTAAACCACAAAAAGTTCATTGGACAGTTTTATATTAAGTAATATTATGTCCATATTATGATGAACACCTTTACTTAGCTCTCATTTGTGGCCAGCATATTGGTAAATTAAGTAAAAGCTGGCTAATCCCAGAAATTAAATTTTATAATTGAACTTTAGCATGTCACGCTTGTCTTGCTAATTGTTGTATATATTTTTTACGTTTATATTTTCTTAAAATAGTTAGTAATCCTCACAAGTTATAAGCATAGGTCTCCTAAGAAGTACATAATCATACGCTACAAGAAGTGTCAGTATTGTTGTACTCTACTGACGTAAATTAAAAAGCCCAAAGGCTAACTCTATGGGCTTAGGAATTCTTACTAGTCACAAAGCTTCTAATCTTATTATCTCGAGGTTAATTATTGCTTTTGGAAACTAGTTGTTTTTGTCACTCTTATGTAGCGTAGTTTTTCTTTTAAAAGTTAGAAAACAAAAAACTTCTTGGTATTTACGCAAAAAATTACGTTAAACTGTATAGAGTCAATGTTGTCTAGAAAATATAGGCTCACCCCCTTTTTTAAATAGTATTATTAAGACCATTAATTTTATTAACTCTTAAAAAATAAGCCCTATAAGTCGCCCACATAACTAAACTCTAAAGTTAAAGTTATTTAAAATCATTAGTTTTGATACTTACTCTGCCGGTTTAAAGAAAACTATTAATAACTTCATACGTAAGAAAAAGATATCTAAACTTTTATCTACATAATAACTAAAAAGCATTTAAGTATTAAATAACCATGTTAAACTTAATGCGTTTTACATTTTGCCATAATCGATTTTTTAAAAAGGAAGACTTAAATATAATATGAGCCAAATCGCTAACAATGAAAAATGGCATATAGCTATTTTAGTACAGCTCTTATAACTATAATATACAAAATTGCGCACCTTCACAGGAATTTTAGATGAACACGAATCAGCTTAATTCTATTCGCGAGACGTTCTTAAAAGGGAAACTACACGACTGACTAAAGATTAACGTTTAAGCTGGGTAAACGGAAAGCTATTTTTGGTTATGTTGCAAATAGTTTATATATATGTATATATATACTACGCCAGAGCTTTTTGAATACTTTTTATAACTTCTTGTAAATGTCTTTTTATTTTGGGTTTTAGTAATTTACAAGTTATCAACTAAAAAGTTTACTTTAAGCAAGAGCATCTTTAACCTTATGGCTTATACACTTGTAAAGCAGTTAATTCCTAGTTTATTAACTTTAAGCGCTTTGGCGAGCGGAATGAACGCCGTCAAGCTTGCTTTTGGTCTTAAATATATTTATTATGTAGTTTTATTATATAATTTTTTTTCAAGATAAAGAATTTCAGTATGCCTTCTGGTTTTTGCTACTTTCAGCTATTTTTGATGGCCTTGATGGCCACGCAGCTAGAGCTCTTGGGACTTCCAGTTCTTTTGGAGCCGAATTGGATTCCTTATGTGACTTAGTGGACTTCGGTTTTTTTTTTTTTGGTTTTTTTTCAACGTTATACTTTTGCTAATTTTCAAAGGAGTAAGCCCTGCTTTGGTTATGTTTCTCTGGTGCCGAGATGAAACGGCCACTTGTGCATCTAAAGGCTCAAGCGATTTATATGTTTTTAAAAATATTATCGACAAGCTACTCTGGTAAAAGTTGTTAATCTACTTTATAGGTTAACTTAATCCAAAAGTTGCCCAGCTTGTGTTATTTTTATTTTTATTTTAATTTATAAAAAGCAAAAATATTGCTATTTTGTTATTTTATTTTTTCTGTGCGACACAAAAAGAAATTTCTAACAAGATAACAATAAATATAAGCAGTCTTTATGTTTTTCTAAGTAAATTTTAGCCCAATTATTTATAATTTTAAATATTTTTAAGGTTTTCTATACTTATTTATGCGTCTTGCTGTGCGTGCCGACTGGCGAGGTTTAATCTTTCTAATGAAACAATTGGTATTTTGTACTTTATGTAAATAAAAATATTAATTTACTTAAAAAAGTGTTTACTTTTCTAATTAAATCTTAGATAACTTAAAAAAAAATTAATTCAAGTTATAGTAGTGTGTTACTGGTTATTGTTATTGAAGTATTGACTTAAAAATTTTTGTAAAAATAAATTCGTCATAAACTAAATTATCAAAAATTGAAGCGACTCCACCTCCACACAGCGCAATTTACAAAAGCAAGGAATTTGAAATTTCTACGGGACTTCAACGTTCTATTTATTTGATAAAAAATTAAAAAAAAAATTAGGTCTTTTTAAATTTTAATTATTAGGAGATTCTCTTACAGTGGATAGCAAGTCCACTGATTCAGAAGTTTTTAAATTGTATTCAAAAAAGTTTCTTTTATTGTTTGTGATTTAAAACTTTTTCATCTTTTACAAATTTTTAAATTTAATAAGCATAAAAGCTGACGGAAAGGAGGTTTCGCAAATATTTAGTTGGAGTAAAAGTTTTGCGAAATGGTTTTTTTTTGCTTTAAAATAATTTTCTTTGATTTATATGATAATTATTTACAATTCAATTATTTTCTATTTTTATATTAATAGACTATCTATTTAATAAAAATTATTAAAAATCGGTTATCTTGAATTTTTTATTGCAGTGCGATATTTGTATTTTTGTATTCTCTAGCAAAACTTAATGTTATAAAAAATGAAATTTATATTAATTAAACTTTTATATTGTTGATCTTCTATAAACTTAAATTTTAGAAGTAATTGGAGCTATTTTTTAATCTTTTTTAATTTTATAGTTTCCTTTTTAGATTATTTAAAAGGTTATTTAAAATATATAATTATATATTATAGAATTTTAAATTCTATTGCTAAATTATTTGAATTTTTTTTTAATTTTTTTATGAATAATATCTCCAGTTGTATGCAAAAATTGGTTTTATAATTTTTAATAAATAGTGAATCAGATTAAAATTTTTTAAGGTAATTTATACGAGTGCGTTCAGTGTAGCGTTAATTTTTTAAATAAGAAAGGGAATCTTAATTTTTTTATAGAATTTTAAACTTTTATTTAAAAATTTTTATTGATATTGTCTCTATTATTGTAGAAGTAACGAATACATTTACGAACTCTCGTTAAGTTTTAGCCCTTATAATTTTCTTCTTCTTTACAACTAAATTATAATTTTTATTATATATAAATATATACAATATATATTTTATAATTTTTTATAACATTAAATAAAAACTTATAAATAGAAAATTTTCTTAAACTCTTTATTATAAAGTAGTTAATATATCTTTTTTCATTTATTTTATATTTTTTAAAAATGTTTAAATTAATTATATAGAAATTTTCATGTTTTTTTGGTTTATTTTTAATTTTCTAAAATTGTTTACATTATTGCTTAAATTGATTTGTATGAAATAACATAAATAAAAGTTTTAAAAAATATTGTTTTTATATTTTTTGAATATTTTTAATCTACTTGAGTTTTTTTGAGCTAATTGTATAAGAATTAAACTGTTTTTAAAAAAACTTTTCAAAGATTAAAATTAATGTTCTATTTTTAACTCTATTCTATATTTCCGATTCACTTTTAATAGTTTGACTTGTTTTCTAATAACATTTTTGTATTACTTAAACTTAAAATTCTTGGAGACAATTAAAAAAAAAATTAATTTTTTACAAATTTAATTTAGACTGAACATATCATCATTTCTATAATTTTATACTCAAAATTATTTTTTAAAAAAAAAAAATCAAACTTTATTTATGTAACTCTTGTTTAAAAATTTGGGTACTTTCAAGATTTAATTAATAGAAAAATTCATAATTTTTTTTATGAGTTTTAATCTGTTTTTAACATTATAATTTCTTTTTTTTTTACAAATCTTTTTGGTTTTTTTAAACTGTTCAGTATTTTTTAAGAAGTAGGCAAAACCACAACAATTGTATAGGAATATTCGATTCCTTTATAAATAAATAAAAAAATTAGAATTTACCTTTTTCTGTTATTTATAAATACTTTTATACTTTACTAAATAGTAAATTAATTTTTTTTACAAATCTCATAATAATTTAATATTTTAGATTTGCAACCGATTTGAAACCAAACAAACAAATCTAATTTAAAAAAATTTATTTTTATTTTCATTTCTTTAATACTTTTATATTTGAGTGGATTTCTGCAGTAAATAAAAATTAATAATTAAAATATTTAATACTCATTTTTATATATCCCGCTAAAAGTATAAGTAAGAAAAATAAATCTCAAAGCTTATCTTTTAGAAATCTTTTATAAGTTTTAATATTTATAATGCTATAAAGAATTTTTATTGAAAAATAATAATTTTTGTTTTATAAATATAATTATTTTTTTACTTTTATAAAATTTATTAAACTGCTGAAGATTTTTTATAAAGTTTGAAAATTATTATGACTAGAATAATAGAAAGTTTTTTATTTTACTATATTCATCTCTTCATATATTAATGAGTACAAATTTATATATTTTTTATATTTCGTTTAAATTTGTGTAAGTTGTTTGAGTTTTTTTCACTCATCTATTTTCTTTTAAATTTTTTTTCATTTAATTTACTATTATACTTACGTAATAATTAATTTTTTTATAGATTTCTTTTAAGTTTGTACTAAATGTTTGAGACTTTTTTAATATTATTAACCTAAAAATTATCAATTTAATATAATTTTAGACGAAGACATCTTTTTTATTATACTTTTAAACATGAATTTTTAATAATTTTTTTATAGATTAATTTTAAGTTTTTTAATTATGCATTATGAGTTATATAAATTGCTGCTGAATTTATAAAGGATAGACACATTTATTAACAAAGAGAAGTTTTTTGAGGGCGTTCCCGCTCCGATGGGAGCATTCTTAGCGTTGGTCCCAATGATGCTCACGCACGCCTTTCCCGAACTTGAGTGCAGGTGAAATATTTTCTTTTTTTATATTTAACTTTGGGTTTCTTGAATAAAATTTAGTGTTTTTTCTTAGTGTTCATAATTTTTTTACTTTAATGATAATTATATATAAAATAATTTTACTAACTGATTTTTTTAATATAATTTTTTTTTTATCTTAAAGATTTATAAATTGGTAACTTTTTAATTAAATGTTTATAGCCTATATAACTAATAAAATTAATTATGTATAAGATAATATTGCCGACTTAATTTTTAATTTATTTTTTTTTATTTCAAAGATTTATAAAAATAGAGACTTTTTTAATTTATTATAAAAAAAATTTTTTTTGAATTTCATATACTTTAATATAAATTATAATATGAAAAGAATTTTTGATCGTTAGATTTTTTTAACTATTTAAAAATTTCTAACTTGATTTAAAAAAATTACTGAATTCTTTTTGAAAAATTATAATTAAGTACAATTTTATATACTAAAAAAAAAATTTTTTTTATAAAAAAAGTTACCTTGTTTTTTTGATTTATTAATTTTCTATTTTATTATTTAAAATATTTATTTTTCAATTACTTCTATAAAGATGTGGAATTTTATATACTTAAATAATAACTTTGAATCATGCCAAAGAGTTCTTACCATTATTTATAAAACCATTAATTTATATCTTTATTGATTAAAAATAATATTAAAAAAATTTAGACTTTTAATAAAGTGTTTATATAACAATTTTGAATTTAATGAACTTCTTTAAACTAACTAAAAAATATTATTATCTGAATTTTAAATTTTACAACTTTTTATCTTTTCAGATTTTTAGCAAAAATTCTGACATTTAACTTTTTATAATTTGTTATACTCAGTTTATGCGCCTAAAAGATTTCTATTTTTTTTGATCTTTTTATATTAATTAACTGAATTTGTATAAATTTGCTTCTTTGATTTACTGTTTTGGTGATTTATATTTTTTTTGTTTTAAGATTTTTAACAAATTTATTGGACGTTACAAAAAAATCAAATTTTAAATTTTTAAATTTATAAAAATAATAAAAAACAAAAAAAAATATAAAAAACGTAAAAAATTTAAAAAAATTATTATTGAAATATTAAATTAAGAGTTTATAACAAAATAATCTTTTAATCTTTTATAATAAAGATTGGATCTTTTAAATGTTTATATAAATTATAAATATAATATCGTAAATAAATACTAATGAAAATTACTTAAATAATTATAAATCTATTAATTTTCTATCGTGATTTTTTTAATTGTGGGTTTTTTGTAAAAAGATTTCGCATTTTATATACTTTTATAATTATAATTCACGATAATAATTTTTTTACTATCTAATTGGTTTAATCTAACTATAAATAAAAATTTCAACGAAAAAATAATCTTTATATTACAAAAAATTCAAATAAATAATAAATAAATAAGATTTAGTAGTTTTTTTTTATTCGTGCAATGTACAAAAAGATAAAGGTGGTTTACATATAAGAATATAATTTTTTTTTAAAGATTAGAATTTTGTATTCTTTAATAAAAATGTTATCTGATTTTTCTGATTCTATTAATTTTCTTTTATAAGAGATTTATTGGGTTTGTGGTTTTTTTTAAAAATATTATCAAATTTATAATTTTTAGTAAATTTTTTTTTTATAACTTTAAAATAGAATTTTATTATTTTTTAGTATTTTACTTTACTTTCAATCACTCTACTAAATCCTTTATAATATAACTTTCTTATTTTATAAAGAAAGTAAAGAAATAATTATTAATTTATTTTAAATCGTTTATTTGTTATATAATTCGTTAAAATTTTTTGAATTACCTTTTTTTTAATATATTATTATCATTACTAATTAAAAGAAATAATAAAGAAATTATTATTAATGATTTGAAATCTTTTATTTATTTTATAAGAATGCTATTTTATTTAAGATGTTCGCTAATAATATTTATTGAATAACCTTTTAATTTCTTTATTACTACCATCAACTAAAAGGAAGTAAGGCAAGATTATTTATATAATCTAAAAAATATATTTTTCTATCTGTTAAACTTTTTTTATAGTAATTTGGTTTATTATTATAAAAGTAAAGGATTTAGTGTGATAATTTGATATCTTTTTTATTTTATTCCAAATATTTTTAATTCGCTGAACATTTTTTAAACAAGTTTCCTATACTTTATTATTATTATTTAAAAGTTAAAAGAAAGATATAATCGCAAATAATTTAAAATCCCATTTTTTTTTTAAAAAATTATTTATTGGATTTAAATTCTTTTAAAAGTTATTCGCTACTTTTTTTTTTTTAAACAATTTTTTTGATATTTTTTATTATAGAGAAATATTTTATTGGTAGTAATTTATAATTTTTTTTATTAATATAAAAAGAAAATAAAAGAAATAATTTATGTAATTTTTTTTTAAACGAAATGTTTTTAAATATTTCTTTAACTAATTTTAACTTTTAAATTTTTTTTCTAAATTTCTTTATTATAGTAGAGAATTTATTAATAATCATAAATAGAGAAACAATGTTATTATTTTTTTTAAATTTTAAAATTCTTTTATTATTTAATAGAAAAAATTAATTTTTTTTTAATTGATTTGTTTGAAGTAAATATCTAATCATCATTATATTATTTAAAAATTTCTAAATAATTATTATAATAAATAAAAATTAATTGTATTAAATTTTTTAAAATGTTCGCTAATTTATTTTAATTAACTTTTTAAAAAAAATTAATTTTGTAATATTTTTTAATTTTATTTTTTATTAAATATTTATTCTAATGTTTTTAGTTAACTTTTTTGTTTTTCGTTTAAAAAAAATATTCTTATTTACTAAAAGAAAAAATAAAGAACTTTTTACATCAATTTGGATCATCGTTGTGGGAGGCTTCATGGTAATTATAAAAATACGTATTATATCTTTTTTTCTTTACTGTAAAACCGCCGCTTCGGTGCACCAGCAAAAGTTACTTTGTAAATTTTTGTTGTAAATTTGTAAAACAGATCTGCACGCTACGCACATTTTCAACTAAAATGTTTATAAAAGGTATATATAATAACCTTTAAAATTCATAATTTATATAAAATTTTTATATTTATTAATATTGACTTTTTTGGATTTATATTTCAAAAGTTTTTGATTATTAAAATTGCATTACTTTTTTGAAATTATAATTATTAATTTTTAATTGAATGACAGGTTTTCTGTAATAAATAATTAATTATAAATACTTTATATTAGAAGTAATTACTGTGATATTAATACACTGAAATATTTTTTGTGATGACTATAAATTTAGTTGAAGTTTATTATATATAATAATTTCAACACTTATAAATTATAATTTTTAAATTTTCAATATAATTAATATTTTTATTTGTTTTTTTCGTATAATTACTTATTATTGTTACAAAGTTTTTATATTTATTTTATTGTTTAGAATTACATTTGAAGTGTTTGTTAACTTTGATTATGAATTAGAATGTTAATAATAATACTTGAAAGTAAAATAATTATTGTACTTTTCCTATTACTATTTTAGTAACTTTTTATAATCAGTAATTGTAAATTAATTAGTTTATACTAAAAATTTACTAATACCAATAAGCTTAATAATTCTTGTAATAATTATATTTTTTATTTTATAAATAGTAATTCTCATTATATATATAGTCTTGAATACGTTATTTACTTAAACTAATATTATTAATAATAAAGTACATTAATTCTTTTTAAAATTTACAATTTACTAGCGTAGTGGTACTGATACTGACATTTATATATATTTAACTCTAATAACACTAATAATACTACTTTAAGTTTATCAATTTACTAATACTAATGCTAAAGAATAAAACTTGAACTAATATAACTTCCTTTAATAAAATTTACAAGCACTAATAATAATAATACTTAAGAAAATTTAGTTTTGAAATTATAGTACTACATTTTTAAAAAATTTTCTCAAACTAAATAATAAAAATCCAACTTAAACTTAATGAATTTACTAACCTTATGACTACTTTTTAGTAAATTTAATTTCATTAATAACCTTAATTAACAAGTGAATTACGGTTTTTATAACGATTAAATTTATTTTTTCCCCGCAAAATTACATATACAGAAAACACTAAAAGCGAAGAAAAGAAAAGGACGTCTTTGTTTATTTCGAAAAACATGCAAACTCTCGCTGGAAGGATACTGGTGGTTTCCGCCGTGCTGGCGGTATTAAGAAGCCATCCATGGTTCCTATTAGTCAGTATGGCAGTGGTGTACACGTGCTCCATTCCGTGCAGCCACGCTCTCTACTGTCTTCTACTACGCGCTGCAAATTCTGATAAATAAAGCTTAAGAAAATTGATAATAATAAGTAAATAAAAATGGTAATAACAATAATATAAGGGAAAGTAAAGTAAACTTTAATATAATAGTAAAAGTATAAATATAATAAATGGTAAAAGTACTTATAAATACTGTAATAATATTAATTGAAATAATTAAATAAATAGTTTAAGAGATTAATAAAAATATAATGATAGATAATAAAGGTTATAATAGTAAAAATTATTGTTAAAATTATTATTATAATAATATATCAGGTAAAGTATAATTTTCATAATTGGTAATAAATAATATAGAAATAATAATAGTGATAATCATATAGAAAAAAAAAATAAAAATAATTATAATAATAATAACATACGAGCTACTTCTCGGGTTTGTACTGCTTATGAGGAGGACAATACGAGTTGCGTCTGCGCGAATCTGTAAAGCGTTTTTTAGAAGAATTTTCTCTATTAAAAAAAATTGTGATACAATGAATCATAAGAAATATTGATGCTAATATTTATTTTTCTTAATAAAATTATTTTTGGGTAACTTTTCGTCAGTGATATTGTTTATCAATACTTTTAAGAAATTTTTTTATAAAAAATCGTAATATGAAGAATTAAAATTATTGAAAATATAAATAATTTTATTAAGGAAAATAACATGTTTGGGGTTACTTTTTTTAGTTAGTATTAATCGATACTTGTATAAAGTTTTTTTTATTAGAAGAATATAATTTTAATATAATATAAAAAATATTGAAACTGTCAATATTTATAGAAAATTCTGTTTTTTAAGGTTATAAGTATTATTACTTATTGAACTTTTACACAATAATTAATTATTTATTTACACCATAACACTAATCGATCGTTTATAAGAAAAAATTTTAACTAAAAAAAATATATTTTAGATCTTTATAAAACAGTATTATTTGTTAATCCATATTTAATAATAATTAATTCAAACAAAAAAAATATTTTATTACTATTTATAATATTAGCAGCATTATTTGTTCATCAATTCTTTTTAAAGTTTTATACTAAAAAAATAAACTTTTTGGATTTTACATAATCAATAGCATTATTTATTTATACATGTTTTCATAAAAAGTTTTTGTACAAAATAAAAGATATTTATTATTGTTTACTAAAACAATAGTATTATATATTTTTCAATACGATAAAGAATTTTTTTTTTCAAGTGTTTCTGAAAAAACTTTGTAATTTTTGAAGTTATATTATTTCTCGCTTTAAAAAAATATTGTTTGGCTTCATTATAGTAAATAATTATAAATTTACTATATACTGGAATCTTTATAGTAAAATAAATATTTTTTATTTCATTGGATTAACTTTAATAAAACAAAGAATTTATTCGATCATTTCTTTAATGTCTTTTAATATTTTTATGTATAAAAATAATATAAAATCTGTTTCATAATGTTATAAACAACATTTTTATAAGAAATTCTTTTTAAAAAAGTATCTAAACACTATATATTATTAACGCTGTTTTCTATCCATATTTCTAATTTTTTGTATAAATAACAAAGAAAGAAATATATATTTTTAAATATTTAATAAAAATAATGAAGTATAGCTGGTCTGAAAAGTATTACTACTATATTTTTTAATAACCTATTGTTACTGGTTTATAAAATTAAAAACTCCTGCTGATTGATCGTTTTTTATTTTTATATAATTTTAAAAATATAAAAATTTTTAATTTATGAGTTTAAAAAAATGGATACCGCTTATTAGTTGACTTTTATTCACTACAAAATTTGAGGATTACTACTTTCGTATTAAAAATAATTAAGCCGTTATATAAATATAAACTTCCTTTATTATTGACTGAAAAATAGATACTTCAACTTTTTAGAAAAAGTTTGTTCATTATTACATGATTAATTTTTCTTAAAATAACAAGAAAAACCACAATTAAATTTTACAATACATTTTTGGCTATTGTTCTTTAAAAAAATAAACAATTGCTGGTTGATTGTTATTCTTATACTTTTTTTTATTTACAATAACTTTTTCTTTATTTTACTATATTTTCCTTTAAAGTTTTATTAAAATTTTTTCATTTGTTTACTTAAACCACAAAAAAAATTTATAAAAAAAAAGTACTTAAAAATGTTATCCTGGAAAACATTAGAAGCAAAGTCAAGCAGAAGTGCAGAGAAAATACTCGCAAGAAAACTAGTGAAGCCACACTAAAAAAGGAATAAAATAAAATTTTATTATTGCTGTAAATAATAATAAAAATGAAAACTGTTTTGTTTTTTATTGGTTCATCGATAAAAAAGAAAGTTGGCTCACCTCTTCTAAGTGTGATATTAGCAAAGCCTTTACTTTTGATACGGAACCTTTAAATAATAAATTAAACTAGAAATAAAAGCAAAAAATACATGAAAAATAATGAATAAAAATTGAAACTTTCATTATATAAATTATGGAACTTAAAATTAATGAAACTGTTTTTAAAAGCATCCAAAAAAAAAATTAAAGCAATAAAATTCATTAAAAAATTACGAAACTTAAAAATTAAATTTTTTATAATTATCCATTAAAAAAAATATAGGTAAAAAATTTAAAATAAATTATAATAAATATTTGTATGAGAAAAGTATTAAAGTTATGAGACCTTCAATAAAAATAATGAATTTTTATAGCCAATAAAAAAATAAATGCAAGATAAGAGAAATTATCACTTATCCAATAAAAAAAGAATAAAGGCATTAAATATAAAGAAAAATAATGCATCAGAAAGTAGTAACTTATAATGCCTTCAAAAAAAATAATGGTTTTAAGTCCAGTAGAGAAAGGCAAAAAAATTAAAAAAAACCAAACATACGCTAAAAAATAAAATCACGGAACCTTTAAGAAAAAATTATGAGAACCTTTATTTATCTGTTGAAAAAGATGAAATAATTAGAATTAATTTTGTTTTACCAACAAAAAAAAAACAAGTCAAAAAACAAAAAATTAAACATTCACTAAAAATAATAAAATTATGAAACCAAGAAAAAATAATTTTTTTTAACCCAACAAATAAATATAAAGGCAAAAAAATTTTTAAAAATTAAAAATTCATGCAAATGTAAAAAAACTATAGAATCAAAAAAAAAATATGAAACCTTAAGGAAATCAAACTTTTTTGAAAAAAATATCAAAAATTATAAAAATTATAAAAATATTATCAAATTAATTTTTTTAACTCAACCAAAAAAATTAAGTTAAAATTTGAAAAAAAATAAAACGTGCCTTTATAAAAAAAAATTAAGGAACCTTAAAAAAAATAATGAACTTTTTTTTATTTCAAAAAAAAAAAGGAAAAAAATTTTAAAAAACATTAAAACAATCATTAGAATTAAAAAATTATGGAACCTTCAAACAAATAATAAATATTTTAAACCCAATAAAAAAAAAGACAAAAAATCAAAGAAACGAAAACATTCATTAGAAGAAAACATAATTACGGAACTTAAATAATTTGAAAAAATCCCCCATTACTATTAAAAAGAGAAATAATAAATCATCAGAAAATAGTAAATGTTTTATGGCCCAACAGAAAAAGAAAAAAAGATATAAACATTCATTAGAAATTAATATAATTTCAAAACCTTTATAAAATATATTTCATTATTTATATTATCAAAAAAATTTAAAAATAAAAAACTAATAATAAAAATCCAATAAAAATAATTAATAAAAACTTGAAGTGGTTTAACCAATAAGAAAAGATTAAAAAATAAAAGACAGGCAAAGAGAAAGAATCGAAAACCGATATTCATAAAAATAAGTGTACCTCGAATGGAATACATGGCAGACAACCAATCACAAAGGAAAGACCGAAACCATTCCCTAAACTCGTAGCCAAAAATTTTAAACTCAACGCGGGAGTCTGATTGGACCAATTCTTTCAACAAAGTCCAATGGTGCCTTAAAAAATTATGATAAAAGTTGACGAGAAAAAATATAATTTTCAATAAAAATAATGAATATAATTTCAAACCTGAACACGCGCTCGTGCGCAGTATCTATCAGCTCTGCTAAGCGTGAAGTAATTTCAGGATCCTGTTATTATTGTTATTATTACCCAATCATAATTTTTTCACTACAAGTTTTTTTCTTTCTTTATTATTAATTATTTATAGGTATTTTCATCATAAAATGATTTACAATTTTGTAGAGGGAAAAACGGAAATTTTCAAAAGTTATATTGAAGTTGTAATCAACTTCAACCATAAACTTCAAATCTTTCAAAATATCACAAGAACAATGTTCGGGTATAAATTTACCTAAATTTAATAATAATAATAATAAAAATAATAATAATACAATAAGCAACCCTGAATGTAATCGCACAAATCAGAAACTTTTAAAGAGTCCAATAAGTGCTCCACCAGGCGCCGCAGAGGATCTGCAAAAGTCATAAAATTAAGGAATCAAACGCCTCATAAGTTTTTTAAGACTTACCACTGGACGAAAAATGAGAAGCTCCAATAAATTTCCTCAACGTCAAATTGTGAAGGGCTGGAAATATTAACCAATAAAAGTTGTTCAAGAGAAAATGAATAATAAATTGTTGGGGGTGGTACATGGATTAATTTTAATGAACTCTTCAATAATCCCCGAAAGAATAGAACCGCTGGTTTTATAAACGTCTGTTATGCGGAATAATAATGATAATATCATGATAATAGTGGTAATAAAAGAAACAAACTTCCTGAATCGCCAGAAAAACTACGAGAAGAATGCTCGCGAGGAAGCGAATAAGCACGAGGTCGGGCCACATGCGAGGAGGCGCTGGAACTGCTGGAACTCGCTTCAGAAGTAGAAAAGGTTCCGGACGGTACCGTTCCGTTATCAGCCTGGCACACCCAAAAAAAATTAATAAAATAATGATAGTAGTGAAGAATCATAATTTCTGAGCGAACCGGGCGAGAATCGCTGAATATATCCAATAGTCTTTCGAGTCTATAACGATTAGCGCCAACGGAAGATGTGGAAGATGTTGGAGCAGTCTCGGTGGCGGATGCTGTTCTGCTACTGGTGCTCCGAGTAACGCGCCGAGCAGGCTCAATATCCTCGCGGGGAGGCCCACGGCGCGTGATCGAGCGCACAAGTCCTCGTGGTCGGCGGGGGCCCACGGGATTACCCGTTGCTCGCCTGGAGGAGGATACTATTTTAGCGCCAAAAGAAGACGCACAACAAACAAACACTATAAATATAGTAATCAGAAAAGAACCCAAAAAATTGAGGAGGGGCACGTTGAACTAGGGAGGAGCCGTCCAACGAAAAAGTCTCCACAGAGCCTACCGCACCTAAACTTCCAAGCGCTCTAGTTTATAAAAAACGTAAGCCATGTAAAAAAACGCGTCCCCCGCTATTATGGTCTAAAACAACCTCGTTAGCGACTCAATCAGACTTGCACTAATATTGGAGGCCGAAACCGAGTCAGCCGACGCAGAGGCAATTCGAAGCTCAATGTGGGCCTGCGGACGAAGAGCACGAGTTGTTGGGGCGGGAGAAGAGTCCTGTTGGGCAGGGCCGGAGCGGTTGATGGCGTGCGAAAAACTCACGCAAACAGACGAATTGCTTTGATCAGCAGAACTAAATCGGTTTGTAGTGGTCGAGTCCAAGCCAGTGGACGGGGGTCTTTCCGCAAGCATTAGAAAATCAGCGGCTGCTTGGGAAATGGCCTTTTTCATAGTTATAATAGTAATAAATAATAGTATAATACTGGCATTCATAAGAATAGTAATATTATAGTGAAAATAATATATATTATGAAAAACATAATAATAATAATATATGTTTTTTTGCTTTTAATAATAATATAAACATTAATAGTTATATTATTAAAAAATAGTAACAGTAAATTTCATAATAACAACAATAATAACAAAACAACTTCTGCGCTGCGCATGGCGGCTGTGTGGGCGTGAATGTGAGCTACAAGAGAGTTATTTGTTGGAGGGATCTCGCAAGAATTAGAGGTCGGCCTCGAGGAAGGAAGGTTGTTTAGAGGCGCGTGGATAAACCCCTAAATTATTTTTTTGTACACAATTTATAATAACATATTTAATGAACAAATTTTCTAGGGTTACAGTGATATAAAATAATCATGAATTTTGTAAATATTAGTTTATATTAATAATGAAATAAATAATGAAATAGTTAAAAAAAATATTTATTTATACATAATATAGTAACATAGATAATATTATATTTAGTAAAGATTTCTAAAAACAATATTGTAAAATAAATAACTTAGTGAATATTTTTTATTTTCAATTATAATAAAAAAAATATGACGAGAAAATATTACATATATACAATAATGATAAAAAAAATTAAATAAAAATATATTAAGTGATTATGTTTTACACACAGTTATAATAAAAATTAAATAATATATAACTTGTTCATAAAATTTAATTATGCACCATTATTGAGATAAAATAATATAAATAAATGATAAAACTATATATTTATACGGTATATATATTATATAAAATATTTTCTGCTAAACATTTATAAAATAATATAAGTAAAGTGGTTATAATAATAATAGGAAAATTTAGTAAAAAATTATAATAACCAAACAAAAAAACTACAAAATAACTTTTAAATATAAATTATATTTAAATATAATAAAGTAAACCAATAAAATAAAATGAAATTAATAATAAAAATTACTAAAATAAAGAAGTTATAATATATATTAAAAATTAGTAAAAGTATTATTTCATAATAATAAAGTATAAATAATAAAAACTTTAAAAAGTAATACAGAAAAAAATTTCGAGTTTTTTTTCCTAAAGTAAAAGAAAAATTTATAAAAATAAGTAAATATAATAAAAAATATATAACATTTAATAATTAATAAATACTTTACTTAGAATAATAGATTTAGTACGAAAAATAATATAAAATAAATAATAATATAAACTAAATTACTGATAATTATTAATATTTAAAAATAATAAATAAAAAGAAAATTATCATAATAATAATTAATAATATAAAATATTTCATAATAACTAGATTACTGATAATTATTAATTTAATATAAATAATAATTTAAAATAATAAATAATGTGAATAAATAATAAAAGTATTTATTTTCAATACAATTATAAAATTATTTTTATTTTTCACAGGAATTTATAAATTATAATTATTATTACTATATTTATTACAATAATATTTATTATTAATGTATCAATTATTTAAATATATTATTATTAATTTATATTATCTCGTAAATTTTTGCATAACTAGTAAATTATAGTAGAAAAAATTATATTATCATTATAAAATTTATTATAATTTTTATTATTTATATTAATTATTATATTATACTATTCATATTATTTATAAAATAATTATTATCACGTAATTATAAACTAAATATTACTGGATAAAAATAATAGCAATAATTTCAATGATTCATACAAAATTAATTAAATAGTAATTACAGATAAAATTGTTACTAAATAAGAATAACTGATAGTAATAAGGATAAAATATGTCGAATTACTTATTATAACAATAATAAAAAGTTATAATATTAATATTAATATTAATAATATAATAGTAATAATAATAATAATAAAAGTATTCAAGGCACCTCTGCGGTATTATAATTTCCGATCAGATTTACATTCAGTAACAGCGAGGAAACAAGAGCAGCCATATTAGAAAGATTTTGGTAGAGTCGGCCTAATTTTCTTAAGGATTCCTGCACCTCGTGACGGGGCGAGCTGTCGTGCTTAACAGTAATGATAATTTATAAATTTATTATAAAAAGAAATCTTAAGCTTGGCAAAATACAAAAGTTAATAATAAAAAGTTATAGAAAACATATAAATATAAAGAAAAACTGTTGATCAAAAGCTAACAAGTTAGAAAAAATAAAACAAAAACAAATTTTTTATTAGTACTTTGGTAAAAAAAAATAATAACTAAATAAATAGAGCAATCATAAATTATAAAAAATAAAAAAATTATAATATATACCCAAAAACACTGTTAAGCAAAAGCGCTAACAAATTAAAATATTCATAATAAATATTCACCAATAACGAATTGACGAAAACAACTTATCAAAAAAAAAATAAATTAATATATTTAAAAAAAATAAATTTAATCAAATAAAAATTGAGTAAAAAAAATTGGAAAAAACTTAAAATAATGAAAAAAAAATTAAAAAAAAATAGCGAAAAATGAAAATTTGAAACAACCAATTATTGTTATAATAAATATATACAAATTGACCAATAAAGAACACAATAATAATAAAACCGTTTATCAAAAGTACTAAAATATTAATATAACTGGAAATAAATTTAAAAAAAAAAACAATAAATTTATAATTCTGAAATAAAAAAAATATTAAAAGCGCCAAAAAATACGCAAATATATAAATTTATACAAAAGCATATTTAGTTAAAAAAAATTTATTAAATATTTAGAAAATATAAAAGAATTATAAAAATTTAAAAATAGTATTAAATAAATTAATAATTATATAGAATTATAAAATAATAAAAATGCGAAAAAAAAATATCAAGATCATAAAAAAAGAGAACTGATTAAAAAAATAAAAGCATCGTTTTAATAATATCAAATAATATACAAAAAATATTATATAACATAAAAATCAGAAATTTATATAAAAATATAAAAAATCGTATATTAAAAAAATTTGTAGATAATAATTAAAAAAGAAATATAATTTATACTAAAAAATTGAAGATAAAAAAGATAAGCGATAAAATATATTAATAGAGACAAAAAATTGTTATAATAATATAAAATATTAAGGAATCGTATACTAAAAAAGGCTAAATAATAATTATATAAATAGAATAGTAATAATATAATAATGAATCTCGCATATAAAAATAATTATATATGATAGTAATAAATTATATATATATAAAAAGGAATTAAATGAAAATAAAAAAGGTTAATTAATAAAGAATCTCGTATAAAATAAATATAAACATAAAAAAAGAATTGATAAAAGCAAAATAAAAAATAATAAAAGTATACATCGCAAAAGAATACAATACAAAAAATTGAATAATACATAAAACTTAATATGAAAATAAATTAATATAAAAAAGATAGAAAAGTATATAAACAAAGAAACAATATATAAAAATATAAAATATTAAAAAAAATAAAATGGGAGTAAAGAAGTAAAAAAATAGAGAAGGGTATACAAAGAAGGAATAAAAAAATTACTAGAAATTTAGTAAAAAAATTAAAAAATTTAAATTTAAGAAAAAATAAAATAACAAAAAAGTAAAAACCATAATTATAAAAAAAAATAAAAGAATAACATGAAACAAAATACTTTCAATTTATTATAAAAATAATCAACAAAAAAAATATCAAAACTAAGAAGAAAAAATATATAAAAAATTAAGAATATAAAATATAAAACAAAAATAAATAAAATATTATAAATTTTAGATAAATATATATAATAAATAAAATATAAAAAAAGCAAATAATAACTATTATTATTATAAAAAATCGTATATAATAAAAAAAATTAATAAAATTTAAATAATGTAGCACATAAAAAATATCTAAACCATGAAAAAATCGCATATAATAGAGAAAATAAATAGAATATACATAATATATTACAATAAGAAACCAAAGAACCGTATAAAAAAGAAATATAAAAACAAAAGAAAAGAAAACTAAAAAAACAGTAACAAGTAAAAATTTTCGACAAAAACGCGTATAAATAAAAAAACAAAGCAAAACAAAAGAAATAATCTCAAAATGGAAACCATAAAAGAATCGTCTGCCAGCGTCGATAAGCAGTCACGTTCGAGATCCGCACCGCTTTCAAAAGAAGTGCGGAGATTTCCAATTCCAGTAAGCAGCGCCTCCACGTGCAGATGGGAAGAGCCATGTGGCGGTGTGACCCTTTCAGGCGGAAGACTACGAGAGGGAGAATCCCAATAGGCTTGAATAATTTCTTCGTTATGCCGAGTGAGTTCTGAGATTCTCCTTTGATATTCAGAAAGAAGCTGTTAAATAAAAAAGTTATTGTAAACAAGTTATATAAGTTGTATTATAATAATAATAATAATAAATAAAATTATTATATAATTCAAAAAATAAAATAAGAAAAATTAAAAATTCAAATTTAGAATTTTTAAAAAAACATAAAAATTAATTTTTTTTTATTAGTTATAATTATTTAAATGATATTAAAAAAATATGAAAAAGTTAAAATTTCAAGTACTTAAAATACAATACACTTTAAAAAAATAATTTTTGTAAAATATATTATTAGTAAATAAAAATATTTATAATTATTTAAAAAAATCAAGGTATTAGAGAAGTTATATAAAACAAAGTTTTAATTCCCTAAACAAAATCTAATTTAAAAAATTAAAAATTCCAAAAATAAAATTTATAAATTTAAAATCAATTAAGAAAATTAAAAAATGGAGATTTACAGAATTCAAAATTTTGTTTTATTAAATCAAAATATGATTTATTTTTATTTATTAATTTTCTACAATCAATTGAGGAAAGTTAAAAACTTTCAAAAAAAATGCAAATTTCTGAAATGAAATTCAATAATTATTTAATTATTTTTTTGATTTTCAACCACTAATTATATATATTTAAAAAAAATATTTCCAAAAACCAAATCGAAGTTATAAGTTTCTTGAATTTTTTTTAAATTATATTTCATAAATATAATATTTAAAAAAAATTTCCAAAAAAAAGAGATCAAATTAAAAAAAGATAAAAATTCAGAGTTAAGTCTCTTGAAAATAAATACAACTATAACTTTTATTTTATATATTTTAACAAAAAAATAGAATATATAAACAAAAAATATTACATAATAACAGTAACTAGATTTAAAATTAATTATAGATTAATATTTCTCACATCAAAATTTAAATTAAAGTTAATTTTTATTTTATATTTATACTTATTAATATACTAAAAAGTAAATACTCCGAAAATAACAAAAAACTTTTTTATTTAAGTATATTATTATTACTAATATATAAATTCAGATCGACGCTTCAAAAAAAATTGAAAAGTCTATAAAAAAAAAACTTAAAAAGTTTAGAGGTAATAATAAAGAAAAAAATTGGAAAAAAATGAGAAATATTCATTTAAAAAATATTAGAAAGTTTTCTAATAGAAATAAATCTAAAAATAAAACTAATTTTTTTTAAAAAATTAAAGTTTTATAAAAAAATAAAATGAACACAAAAATATATTTAACATAAAATTTACTTTAACTTTTTAAAATAAATGTATAAAGTTTATAAAAAAACATTAATTATATAGTTTTGGTAGTATAAATAAATAAAAGTATAAGAAAAGTATGGAACTAAGAAAACCATAATAAAACAGAAATTATAATAAAAATTTAATACAAAAAACTTTAGAAATTTTTTTATTATGAGTATTTCTTCTCATATGCTGTCATACTTTTCTCTATAACATTCTTATTTATTATTATTTTTAAATAGGATATTTATTTACGTAAATAAAAATTACTTTAACTTTCTAAAGAAAAAAATATATATTAAAAAAAATCAAATAGATATTTTTGTAGTATAAATAAATAAAAGTACAAGAAGACGTATATAAATAAGACAACTATAATAAAACAGAAATTCTAATAACTATTTTAAAAATTTAAATATTTTATTTTTATATATATTTTTTTCATATTGTTATACTTTTGTTTATAATATTTTTTAAGTGATTATAAACTTTTTATAATAAGAATTGTTATATATTCAATATTTTTTCATCGTATTATTCTGAACGACTTTTAGCTTTAATTCATTTTCTAACTTTATATTGCTTTAGAAAAGCGTTTTATTTATTATTATCAATTATAATTTGTAATATTTCTTTTTTGTTATTTAAAAAAAATTGTAAAAAATTTTTATAATAAATAAAAATTTTATTAAGGAATACAATTTTTACAAAAAAAATCATAATATTATAAACTAAAGTTTATAAAAATATAATTATTTACTAAAAAAACTTTTTATAAAGTTTTTGAAAAAAAAAAAGAAAAACCGTCGAAGAAATGAGATTTCTTGAATCGAGGTTTAATGAAAAATTAATGGCAGTTCCAGAATCCTATAGGTTCATTTTTACAGTTTAAATAATAATAATATTATTAAAAATAATATATTAAAAATATAACCGAAGAAGTCGCTCGTATATTAGAAGGTGCGTAGGGGCTAGCGGATCCCAAAAGTGAGCGTAAAATCTTCAAGTTATTATAGCAATAATAATAAATAATAATTATAAAAGCAAAAACAACAATAATAATAAGAATAAGAATAAGAATAATAATTAAAAAGTTCAAACTGCGTAATAAAAAAATAAAAATATTAAAAAAGTTAAAGTAAATATTAAAAATAATATAAATAATTTAAGGAATAGAAATTATAATACAATAATAGCTATAATAATTTTTAACGGCAATTATAAAAATATAATTTAATATATTTTTAAAAAATAGTTACTATTATTAAAGTTAACAAAAAAATAATAATAAATAAAATTAATAAGAATACTAATAATGATAATAATATTTATTTATTTATTATGAAAATAAAAGTTTATGCCCCACGTAATAATAAATAAAATAATTTTTTTAATCATAATAAAATAAATTTTTCATTACGATAATATTTTTTATGTTATAATATTTATAGTATGAAGGATATTATAAATGTAACAATTAAAAGTAAAATAAAATTGTTCTTATAAAAATACTTTAAAGTTAAAATATAGTTTATAATATAATTATATGGGTAAATGAGTTGATGTAATAATAATAATTATAGCAGTAATAAAAATATAATAAAATTATAATAATAAATATTAAATATTAAGAATAATAGAAGTTAATATTTATCAATATTATTTATACAATAAGCGAATATTAATTGTTATAATAAATACCTTAAGTATTATAATTAATAATCATTGGATAACTAATAACGTAAAATTGGAAGTTGTATAACTAAATATTTTTATTATTGCAATTATAATAAAAGTTTATATAATAATGTTATAATAATGTTAAAAATAAAAATAAAAATTATAAAATAATTTGAATTAATAATAAATAATAAATATAAAAAAATAAAAATAGAATTAAAAGGTTAAAAATTCGACAGATTCCGTTAACTATAATAATAACGATTTACAAATATAAAAAATAACGAAATAATAATAATAAATATAATAAACACGTTTAGAATAATTATTTATAGTATAAAATGATATTATTAATAAATATGTGCAACCGTAAATGTTCAAATAACACCTCTTAAATATATAATAATAATATGATTTATAAATAAACTTCATAGAGTTAGTGAAAAAATAATAACAATAATTTGAAAAAGAATATGAAAATTCAAATATAACAATAAATTTTAAAAAAAAAGTTTGTTTCTTTTAAAAAATTTTTATAAGAAATAACAACTTCACTAAGATTATTTAATAATAATAAAATGTATTTAGTAAAGAAACCTAAAACAATTAGAAACATTTATTTATAATAATAATAAATTAATTTATGATAAAATTTAAATATATAAGTTAAGTTACTTTTTATAAGTAAACTGAATTCTAATAATATTAATAATTTATAATAATTACAACAAGTAATAAATTACACATATAATAACAAATATAATTAGAATTTAAATATTTATAACTGCAAAATTTAAAGAAATTCAAAAAATATAAATTAATTAATTAAAAATAGATCTAATTACATTTAGTAAATAATTTAGCGTTGTTGTAAAAAAAAGTAATAATAAAGATAAAATAATAAATAATTTGTTTAAAAAAAATAAAGTTAAGATATTGAGTTAACTCCTTTAATAAATTTAAAAAAATAAAAAATTAAATTAGTTTTTATATAAAACCAAAATGCTAAAAATGAAAGTTTTTAAAAATATTTAAAAAAAATAAATTTCACATATACTATTCACAATTTTTTGAAATTAATATATTTTAATTAATTCTTAAATGTAAATTAGTAAAATAAAAAAATACTTATAAAGAATTTAGTAGTTATGAGAAAATTTGTAATATATAATAAAATATAATAATAAAATATAATAAAAATTATTATAATATTATAATAATAAACTCATTAAAAAAATTTTGTTATAAAAATAAATTTAACTCTTTCAAAAAATTTAAAATTTACAAAATTAGTTTTTAGATGTAAATTTAGTTTTGATAATAATACTTATTTAGTATTAAAATCAAATATTAGTTTATGCAATATAATATATATGAAATTAAAATTATATAATTAAAGTAAAATTTTTATTATAACTTAAATAAGAATTATAATTATATAAAAACTAAAAATAAATCAGTAGAGTTATAATAAAATACTAATCTATAAAAAAAGTATTCAAAAAACAAAAATTATTTCAATAAAAATTAGTAATTTTTAATATAATAAATAAATTTATACAATTAATTTTTTAAAAATTTAAAAAATTAAATCAACGTAAGTAAAAAACCAGAGGGGTATTAGTAGTTCCTTGCGGAAGCCCAAAAGTTAAAACACGAGCTCCAGAGTTATTCTGAAAAGTGGAATTAAGATCTGCCGATCCAACGGATTCAGAATTACTCGTGGAAGTCAAAAAAGTTGAAGATGACGAGGAAGTTTCGCACTCTAGAAAAATAAAAAGACCGAAATATTTTTAAAAATTTGTTATAAAAAAATTAAAAATTATAAAATTTAAGTAAAATGTTAATTATATTTTATATATTAATAATTTCTAAACGAAATGGAATTTAAAATTTTAGTGAGATTATTTAGTGTTCACGTAATGTCGAAGAGAGAATATAAATCAAATTAAAAATTATAAAAGTAAAAAAAATAATTAATTTAATAAACAAAATCTACAATAAAGCAAAACAAGTTTAAAAGTACAACGTTTAGTAAACCCAAAAAGTTGATAAAAATGATATTAAATTTAAATTATAATCAAAAATCAAAATAATTAAATCAATTAAAAACAGTAAATTGAAAAGTTTAATTTTTTTAAATAAACTTTTAAAAAAAATTATTTATTTAAAACTTTTTAATTATAAAAAAAGTTAAGACGTAACTTCAACTTTACATGAAAATAAAGATTAAAAAAAAATTCCCATCATAAATCTGAAAGCGCCAAAAAATAAATAACTCTCACATAAATTTACTATGATTTAAAAAAATTTACATGGTCTAAAAAAAATAAGCAAGACACAAAAAACTAAAAAAACAGTCTAAAAATAGTAAATTATATAAAAATTCACTATAAAAACTTATAAAGCTCAAATATGATCAAAAACTCATATAATAATCCAATAACGAAGTACATCTCAATAAGTAAAAAATGTTTATTGTAATTAAAATTTAGTACCATCAGTAATTCTCTCAATCATGTGAACTACATGGCCAGACTCAATACCGTAAGAGCCTAAAGTTTGGTCATCACGAAGAATCTTGCCAATATATAATAATCTTTGCTTTTCTGAAGGAATCTCCTTAGAAGATTTACCAAACAATAAATATTACTCGTTATTCAAAAAATTTAATTACAGTCACTTCTTGTACTAAAATTTTAAAGTCGGCCACCTTAGTCTGCAGAAAAAATAAGAAAAAAGTAAAGTAAATAATAGTTTTATAAAAATATGAAGTTGATTTTAATATAAATTAATACTTCGAGGACGTGGAAGAACTAAATTAAAGAAATCATACACTTTTCCTTGTAGATATTTTATGATCGCTGGGCTTTAACGTCTTCACGGTCAAGTCCAAGTCTTTATTAAAAAAAACAATATAACAAGTAAGAACTGTAAAATAATAACAAAAATATCCTCACTAGCCTTTTTATTTTTATTGTTAAAAAAAAACAAAAAAATGAGAAGAGAAAACAAACAAACAGAAGTAAATTGCTGTGACAAAAAGTAGAGAAGAAAAAGGACTACCATCGTCATGGCAAGAAGCACTCGCAGACATTATAGAAGTTTTAAATTCTATTTTTTTTTTGTTAGCTTTCGTGTTTATATCTAAGAGATAATAAAAATAATAGTATAGCAAAAAGGGTCGCTCACTTGACCTCAATAAAATGTTTAAACGGATGGTGGAGATTACACGACGGATGACAAAATTTACTGCGAGTGATACTAAAGGAAAAAAAAAAAACCACCAATACTTTTTATGCACACCTGAAAAGTTTTCATTAGTCACAATGGCTAGAGGTGCCATGAAGGTTAAACGTTTATAATACTTTATACATACTACACGAAGTATCAAAATAGGTAAAGAAGGTGTTAAACCATAAAAAAATAAAGTAACTCCATTTTTTATTATTATTATTATTATGTAATTAGTTGGTTAAGTGAAGAAAGCATTTTAGTACCGACATTTTCTAGCTTAAGAAACTTTCTACTTGCACTGTTTTTTCTTAAAGCATTTCTTAAGGTGCTTCTACTTTTAACCTGAAAGTGCTGTAATATATATAAGCTAAACTAATAACCGTCAAGAAGTGTAATATTTTTATTGTAGTAAAATTGTTACGTTATAAAATTTATTGTACTAATAGTTTAACTTTTATGTTAACGAAGCTTTCTAACTCGGCATAAATTCTATGAAACAAATGTATTTTAAAAGGTTTTATAAGAATAAAAAAAGGTAAACTCTTCTTTATTGTACCTCAAAACTTTCAATTAGTATCAAAAGTATTAACTAATTAAACTTTTTAATTTGTTAAGATAAGAAAGTTAACATTATCTTTTCATTCGTACTGCATTATTACGCCACTGGTTTGACTTTTTCTATTCAAGCAAAAAAAAGTGACGCGTATTTATATAGAAAACTTCGTGTTTAAATTTTGTTGCGCTGTTTACTTTAAAGCAAATACTTATAATTGCTATACTTAGAAGAAAAACATTTCGCCTGTATTATATTCTATATAGATACCATCTGTCAGGAAACCTTTAAAATAAAAATACTATTTGTAGGTGCCATATAATTTATATATTTTGAAGAGCTTAATAAAACACTTTTTACTATAAACAGAAAGGTTAGCCTCTGAATATTTTTTTACTAACAATTTGTTTATTAAGTTATGTTTAAAAGTATTGTAAACATTTATTATTATTTAGGAAATCAATATTTTTAGGATATTTTTTACTTAAATACTAATTTATTAAAGTAATATTAAAGGTAATTTTTTAGTGAAGATTAAATTACTCTGCAGTTCACCTACGTAAAAGTCGCTAGCCACTAAATAATAAAAAAAACTTGAAACATCCGTTAAAAATTATGCATAAATTTATAACAAATCTTTTTGATTTAAATTAACTTTTTGAAGGGCTCTTCTTCACAAAGCTCTTTATAATAAACCAATCAACTACTTCAAGATTAACATGGAGCCCTGAATTATAAAGTTATCTTGTTTAACTGAAGAGAAAACTTTGCAAAAGTAAGTTTTCACTAGGATATCTTGTATTAAATATTTAGTACTGCATAATAATTTACAGTTTACTTAAGCCTATAGCAAGTTATATTATTTTTATATATTTTAATGGATCCTGCCCTTTAAAGTGCAAGTTTTCTTAATTTAAATTAGGGCTCAGTGCTACAACACGACCCAAAATTACATTTAAATGCTATTAAAAATGAATAAATATCTACATAATATAGTATAGTTAAAAGTTTACAGAAAACTTAAAATATAATACATATTTAATTAAAAAAAGTATAAGCAGATACTTTACCAAATTGATTTAAAATTTACAAATTGAAAAGCACGTGCTCAAGTATTGCTAAAAAGGGTCTAAGGGACATCAATCAATTTTTTTTTAGAGCTTAATATTATTGTTTTAAGAGAACGATCCTTTTAGTGGAGCTTCGTTAAGAGATGGATAAAAAAAATTTAAAGGTCGAATTTTTAAAATTTTATACTACTTCTCAGTTTAAAGCAACTGTTATGGGCAGTTTGTGGGCATTATATTTTCCTTCTATCCTCTTTTGTTGTTTGACTTAAGCTACCATAGGTTCCTTTTTAGGAGCTACTAAAATAAAAATTTCAACAAATTAGTTTCTCACCAACTAAAAATATTGTAAGAATTAAAATTTACTTAATCGACATACTATTTGAAACATAAACATAAGTATGTCTTAGTGATTGACTAAACTTGGAATTTTACATTTTTATTTCTGTTTAATTTTGGAAGTATACATAGAAAGATTAAATAATAGTAAAGGGGTAAGGAGAGATCTTACACAGTCCTCTTGCCGTTTTTGAATGTGACCTTTGTACCTCTACTTTTTACTATGGATTTGCTATAAATATCTTGCCTTGTCAAAACTCTACTCCCCTGAAATAGTGGCGAAGTTATTAGCTACCGTTGAAGGACTAACAACAAATGTAGATTTTGAAAACAAAAAGATTTCCGAACTTTAAAGTAAAGTAAACAACTCCGGTTATAATGCTTTATAAAAACGGAATGGCGGTTCTTTAGCTTTAGAAAATCCCAATTCTAATGTTTTTAGCTCTCATGCCCGAGGATGAAGTCGAAGTTGCTATCATTAATATAGTATTAACTATAATATAAATAGTGACTGTAGTATCAGTAACGATAGTAGTAAGTAAAACACTAATAACAGTGGTGGTGAGGACCATAGTAATAATAATAACAGTTATACCCTCACTACTAAGAGCAGTAACAGTAGCGGTAGCACTTCCAAAAATAATATCAAGTCACCAGCCAGAAAAGCATAGATGAAGTAGTTTCCCCTTTATCAAACAGTAATGTTAATAACTTCACCACAAGGGATACCCGAACGTGACTTTACAGTTTTCCTCTCAATTTCTGACAACTTACGAAAGCCACAAAGCTTCCCATTTGAAAGAAATTTTTAATTTTACTACTATCAACTACATGAAGAGCGAGCATTTTAAACTAGTTTTAAGAGGTATTTTCTCAGAATTGAACTGCGAAGAGATCAAAAAAGCTCTACGACAACTGGGATCCAAAAAAAAAAAACCCCCGTTAAAAGTCGCTAAATAGTTAGCTTTAGAGACCATTAGAATTCGCTTCCTCTCATTTTTCGTGCATCTATGGAGCTTTAAAGTATCAATTTTTAAAGTTATTTCTGTTTATCATCTATTAATCTCTGTGGAAAGCATGAATAACAGCACCAGGATTGGTCACATACCTCGCTGTCAGCTTTTCAGCCTAACTCAAATTACTGCACCTCAGCCCTCAGCCCACAAAAAATGCTTCAATTGTGGTGAAAATCACGAACCTATACGGTGTACAGAAAACACCGGGGCTCCACGAAAATGTGCTAACTGTCAGGGCAATCACATTGGAAACTACCGGGGATGTATATATTACCTGGAGGACACGCCCTTAAGAAAAATGCTCTCTCTACCCACTACTACTGTACCTGAACCAGGAGCACCCTTTAAAAAAACTATTTCTATCTCCTTAACGAAAGAGAGGGCCCGCACTGATAGCAAAGTTACGGATAACCAACTAAATTGAAGAAATACACTTTTAACTACAGCCAACTGGCTTAATGAACTTTACAAATCGTTAGGATTTTCGCAAAACGATTGAAGTACACTCATATGCTATTCTGAAACGTTGATAATCTGCCGTACAAAAGAGAGGAGTTGGAAAAGCTTCTTATAAGAGAAAAAATTGATATAGTTCTTGTAGCGAAAGACACCAAAAAAAAAAATCGGAGATATCTTTAAATTACCCAAATACATAGTATACCGTAAAGACAGAACTGACTTTTAAAAGATGTAGCAGTATTGGTCAAAAAACACCTTGACCACCCAGAGATTTTATTTAACTATATAACTATTATTGAGGCAATTGTAGTTAAAATAAATATATATGAGCAAGACGATGTAGCGATTGTTTTTGCATATAAATCTCCGGGGAAGTCCCTAGTAAATTACGAAATGGATCTCGTTAGTAGAATAGGATATTCTATTGGAGAAATTCTCAACTAGTACGCCGAAGATAAGGAGTTAATTAATTTGAGACCAACCAACCCCTCAAGCATCCCTAAGTTGGGTACTGCTGATGTATTAGACATTGCAGTTAAAAAATATATTTGTCTTGAAGTTAAACAGACGATTTTATATAAACTCTCCTTAGATCACCTACCTGTAGTTTCTCGAAATAGGTTCCCCAGAAGTCTGCCCTCTGTCTTTATTACGTAAATTCACCAATTGGAAACTTTTTAAGAATCTTCTAGACTAAAAACTTAAAGACAACCCTTTGAGACTTTATTCGCCGGCACCTTCTTCATGATTCAGTAGCTAACTTTGAAAGCAAAATTTTTCAATCATACCAAAAAGCCTCTACCATTATAAAACAATCATATTAAAAACCACATCTGCCGACAGAAGTTGGAGTTCTTCTTCAATTCAGATAACTGCAAAGGAGGGAGTTTGCGTTAACTCGGCCCCCTGAAAGTAAACGCTTACTAAAGAAACTTGACAAACAGGTCAAAAATAGTCTCCTCACGCTTCACCACAGAGAAATGGGAGAATAAGCTTTTAAATCTAGGAAATAACAATAGCCCTAGTTCTTATTAACAATTCATTAAATCGGTAAAGAACCGCCATAAACAGTACAGCTGCCCATCAACGTCTAAAACCGGTACTGTTTACGACGACAAAAAGAAAGCGGAAGTGTTTGCTCAATGTCTCCTATCTCAATACTCGCCCTTAACAGTTTCTTTAGAAAGGACAACTACCCTCACACAACTCTTATCCTCCTCTACTGAGCAAGCACCGCCAAAGGGTCACACAAACTTCGAAGAGGCACAAATTATTAAACCTTCTCAACTAAAAAGTCACAAGGACCTGATGGCAATAACAAACCTCATGCTAAAAAACTTATCTGAGTCGGCCATCAAAACTCTCACTTTTATAATTAACGGCACTCTTAGTTATTCACTATTTACAAATTGATGGAAAGTGGTCACTGTTATTTTTCTACCAAACTTAAAAAACCCTCCCTCTGACCCCAAGGACTATTGCCCAATAAGTCTACATCTCGTGCTGGAAAAGCAGTAGAGGCAGTTACACTCATGCGATCACAGAACTACTTAGAACAATACCATATCATCCCTGAACACCAATTTGGATTCAGAAGGGGTCCTTCAACTACGCAGCAACTTTGAGTTCACCAAGCATGTTACAAAGGGATTTAACAATAACAAATCTACATGTGCTGTTCTCCTAGAAATTGAAAGGCTTTTGATAGAATTTGGCACAACTAAAATTATTAGTCTAAGAATACCAAATCACCTCCTCTTCCTTATTAATTCATTTCGGACCGCGTAAGTTTTTTACTAAAATTGGAAGGGCTCAAGTTTAAAGGGACTCAGGGAAGGAAGATTTCTTACTTTGACTCATCCTCTTTTCGATTTACATGGCAGAAATACTCAATCCAATATCTCAACATTTTATCACAGTTTCGTGGATGACAACAATCTTTGCTATTTCTAAGTCTCTTCCTCTAGCAACAAAACTGGCGCAAGCACTTACCAAAAGGATCGAGCTCTCGTTCGACCAATGGTACCTTACTATAAACCCTTCAAAGAGGGCAGCCATAATCATTACTAAAAGATGTAAAAGACAAATGTTCAGTTAACCAGCCCCTGGCGCACTAACATAAACCATCTGGGCGTCACTACAGACAACAGACTCAATTGGCGCAACTAAATTGCAAATGTCACGAAAAAGGCTAAATTAGAGATCAAACTACAAAACCCCTTATCTGTCCGAAAAGTCGTCTCTTTAAACGAAACAAACTTCAACTTTATCTCAATACTATTAGACCAAAGATGACCTACGCATCTGAGGCGTGATTTTATTGCCCCCTACCATTATTTAGCTACTCCAGGCTATACAACTCTATACTGAGAACTATTTTAGGTGCGCCATGGTTTGTTCCAAGCTTATTCTTCATCTCGTGACTTAAAATATTGAAACTCCACCACAATTTTTTCAACTTACTGCGAAAGAGAATTATGATAAGTTTTTGGTCCATTCTAATCCGCTATTTATTATACAAAAAGTACAGGAGACCAACAGCTTGTTTGTGTCTGATGCTCAGTGGCCACCTAATTAACCTGACTACCCTCTCATCCGATGTTATACCGCAACAAAGTTAGGTTAAGCAGTATTGGAGGCCTTACAAAAAGAGAGACCGGGCTCTAGCATGTTAAAGTTGTAAATAAATAAAGGGGTAAAACCAACAAAATAAGGTTGTGAGTGAGAACTGCGCACTTCAACTTCTTACTTAGAATTTTCTATAGATATTTAATTTACTTACATAGCGGTTTATTTAACATATATTTACATATTAGAAAACTTAAACTACGTAATTTATTAATGACCTTATCACAGGCCTTACATATCTATTATACTTTTATATTATATATATTCTGTTTCAATTCCTATTTCTTTTTAAAAATATATATTTATCTTTATATTGATTATGTCCCTGCTCTGAAGAAGAACTTTGAGCATTTATTGCTAATTTATTGGCTAGACATGAAGAACTCAGAAAAGAGTTAATTTCTACAAAGGCATTGAAGTTACTAAAATCACTCAGGATAAAAATAATTCTAAAAGGTGAAAGGAGCCTTATGATAAAATAAGTAACAATAATAATTTATTTTCGGTCTTACAAATTCTAGATCAACTCACATGCTTCTGAAGTGGTACTCGAAGAAAGCGAGGCTGTAAAGGTAACTATAGACCAGTCTAGTCACGCTGAAATACCTAATATTAAGAGTAATAGTAGTAGTAGAAAGGGTCTTTTAACTAATAGTTCCCATAATAGTGTCATTAATCAAATATAATTGTTAGTTAGCAACAACAGTAATAACAAACTAATACAGTAATAAAAATAGAAATATTAATATTAGCATTGATTGTAATAAGTTTAATCTAATAATTAAATAAATAATAGCCGTAATAAAGATGCCGACAACATGAAAGTTATTGGAGACTCAGAGAAGCTTCAAGAGCTTTACACGACTCAGTTGAAATAGAGATGGGTAGCGCTTCTGACACTGCCCCTATTATTGATGAACGACCATCTACTGCGGCACCTCTCTGGGAGCTTGTAGAAAGAGAAAATCCTCCTATTACCCTTTATGAAAAACTAAAGTAACCCCTTGTACAACTTTTGCAATTGAATGGCGCTACGATCCTAATGTCAAGAGTTACAGGTCTTGGAATTAAAATATTTTCGACAACAGTTGGAGAATACCACGTAATTACAGCGATAATGCACAAGCAGAAATTACAACATTTAACCTATCAATTACCCTGCGCTGCGACACCTCGGTGCGTTAAGTGCGGTGTCATATGACTGCGGAGTGTACTAAAACACGAGGCTCGCCTGCTAGATGTGCGAATTACGGTGAGGTATACACCGCCAACTACAGGGGCTAATAATGTTACCATTGGCGGCCTTTAGAACTCGATTAACCTATGCGACCTCGACACCAGATTACCACCTCGGATGCTGGCGTCACCCCCTACTATATCCTATACTACCCTTTGAAAGCGAGATCGCCAAAGCTCCCCCTGCGATAATCTTACTAATATTAATAACGTAGACGCAGTCACTCCACAACAGTAAGAACAGCGATCGCAACCGACTTTAGGACAGATGTTAGCTATTTTTACAACGAATCTTTCGACCATGCTCGAGACTGTGAAAGGCTTAGAACTGTCTGTAATGACTTTTAAAATTCAAACGCTTAATCACATCCCATTATTGTTTTAGAACGCGCGGAGGGCGTCCAGAAGAAAAAAACACGAGTTGCAGGAGTTAATGCAACGCGAAAGAATAGATATGTGTTGTCAGCAAAACACAGCTATCCCCAAATGTACCATTTAACATCTGCCACTTTGGACTTATCGCTAGGATCGGTTGTACACCAGTGGCTGAGGAGTAGCCGTTATTATTAAGCGAGACGTCTAACATCATTTAATAACTTTACCAGCTCTGCGAGGGACCGAGGCAGTTGGTACTACCCTTAACCTGGCTAGGCAGGGGCCCATTACTGTAATGTCAATAAACCGCCCAGCCAGTCACACACGTTGTTCGATCTTAACGCTCTTCTAGTGCATGATTTTCTGGTCATTCTTTGTAGGGGTCTTAACTGTAAACATCCTGCGTGGCACAGCCAGGTTGCAATCGGAACGACTACATTTTTGAGGCTTACGCTGAGGCACACGAGTTGATAGCCCTAGTATCACAGTTGCCAACAGGCATGGCGAGGAAGACAGACACAATGGACGTGTTGGATCTCGTCGTGTTAAAAAAAATATGCCTTCCAACAGCTATTGAGACGTTGAATGAATGGCCTCTTCTGATCTTCTTCCTGTGCTGCTCGAAATGGGAGACGAAAAGGAAGCGATAAGTACATTCTCCCGATCTTACACCAATTGGAACAAAATTCACTGAATTACTCGAGATGGCGTTTCCGCCGTTTTACGACACCATTCGAAAATCCCGCTAAACTAAACAGTGCTGTTATAAAATTTGAACGCGCGGTACCAGAAACCTACAGCAAACAAAGACGACACGTTAAGTTGTGTACTGCCCTAAACGCCTTGAGAGAGTGGTTTTCATGCAAATAGTCATGGCCTTCCGACGAGGAGAAGATCAACTAGTGCTAAACTCCCTTCACCGGCCCATCAGGAAAAAGCTATTGGCGCACATAAAACTGCCAAGGGATAACAAATTAAACGAAGTATCGGACGCTGGTAACATCGGTCGCGCTTCTTTTTGGAAATTTATTAAGCGAGTTAGAAATCTCGTGCATTTGACTTGACCATCACTTCGTAACGGCGATACCGTAACCTGAAGCGGTGAAGACAGAGCGAAATTCTTTGCAGATCTAGTTACCAAGTATACGCCGTCTATCCTCTACCATCGGCAACCCTTCCCTTGGGTCTCATCTTATCTCGACTGACACAACAGATATTCTGGAGTTGATTACCACGGATAAGATCAAACCAATTATCAAATTACTGCCGAAGGAAAAGACTACCAGCCCTGACGGCGTCACTAACCTGATGTTAAAGCAGTTGTCAGAGGCTGCTATGCCTCGTCAACACGGTTACCTTCGGCTATTTTCCAGGGTTTTGGAAAATGGCGGTAGTAGAGTCAGAGCCTAACAACTATCCACCCATTAGCCTTTGTCGGCAGTTGGTAAGATAGCTGAAGTAGTGATACCTAATCGTTTGAAGGCGGTTGTGGACGTTCATGGAATTTTATCAGAGTTTCAGTTTGGAGTTCGCAAAGGACACTCAAAGATCCAGCAAATTCCTCGTTTAAACTAGTGGATGGCCAGAGCCTTAATTTCTAAAGTTACCGTCGCTGTCTCTCTCGGTGTTGAAAAGACTTTTTACCGAGTAGGGCATGTGTTATTGGCGATACCGCGCTACCTTCAAGAAGCTCACAAGTTGTACCTAAACGGACGGGTCTTCAACGAGCTAGCAGGCGCTGCACTGCCGTCACGTCTCTTCTATCACCAGCCGCTATTCACTCTCTTTAAGAGCGAGACTCCTCTTCCAGTCCACCGTCACACGGTGGTTACCTTTTAAGCTGATAATGCAATGATTAATTTCTTGTTAAAGTCGCCCTTTTTACTATGTCAGCACTTAGCTGGTGTCGTTGATGGCAACTCTCCATAAACGCAGCGAAGAGCAAGGCGCTTTTTACAAAGAAGAAACGCCGTGCGCTGCCGACTACCTTAACTTTTTAACGACTTGTAAATTCTATGGTGTTTTCAGGTTAAACATCTGGGAACATTAGGGGTTCTAAGTTCTCTTGGCGTTCACAAGTAAATTACGTAGGGCGAAGGCCAAGGTAGCGACCCAGATGCTGTATCTTTATTATGCAGCAAAAGTAAACTTTCGTTGCGCAATAAGCGAAGGCTTTATGGGTTATGCATTCGGACTATTATGACATGCATCTGCTTGAACCTACGACTCATCGGCAAAAACGGCCTCGCTTTAAGCGCGACTAAACAACTGCTGCGCCTTTTAACAAATACGTCGTGGTTTGTGCACAATAATGCGCATCACCGCGAACTACAGACTGAACTGCTGGCCACACTTAAAAAAATGAAGCAGTTGCTCTCTAAGAACGGATAGCTGGACACGCTCACCTAGCAGCGGAAGAACTCACGTGTGTGGACGGCGCACAATGCCACAGCCTACGTGACACACACTTAGTCTCTAACGGTTAAAAGCTAAGTTGGGGGTTTAAATTGAACTTGAAGGACACATGTTAAGATAATTTTACTTGCACTAGTGGACGGCTAAAAACCTGTTAAGAGCTCGTGTATTCGAAGTTGTTAACTCGAACGGGCACCAGGAAACGCCGTTAATAAATAAATAAAGAAACAAGGGGTCAACAGGTTTTTCCTCATTTATCGTCTCTCCCTTTTATTCTTCTTTCGCCTATTTTTCGCTTGCCTTCTTATTACAATATCAGCACGAATTGCTCTTTTTCGTCTTTTTCTTATTTTATGATTTATTTCATTCCTTTATTTATATTTTACTTGAAATTGTTAAGTCCTATAATTTTTCTCTTTTTCTACTCAAGCGTGACATTTTAAATAGTTCCTTATTTATTTTTCTATTCAGCGCTACTTCCCTACTAAATATTTGTCATTTTTTCCAATCTTTTTGCGTCTTAACCCATTTGATCCATTCTTCTACTTTAGTACACATTAAAAAGCATGCAAAGTCAACTAGTAGATTCTACTACCAGAAATACTCAATTGCTCCGGGAGTCATCACAACTTGGTCAATGGCTAACTGATATCAAACTGGTCTTAATCTGCTATGGCATACTTGGGTTATTCTTTATAACTGAGAAATTGGAGAACAAGAAATAAGTTCGCATGAAAAACTCAAAATCTGCGACAGGTACAATTAAAGCATTATGAGTAGGGTACATGATGCCATTAAAAGCAAAATAGGCAATATCGATATTACACAGTCTGAAGCAGTCATTGAAGCGATAAAAAAATACTTATGACCGTAGATCACTTGTTACATTTATGGTAAAAGTGCAAGACCTTTGTTTACTTCAAAAGGAGAAGAATCTATTCAATAATATGCTATAGATTTTATCACTTAGCTCGAAGATTTTGGGCATTTTTTGTACTATAAAAGAATAAACGCCTTATATTTCTATTACGGATTTACATAAAAC